ACAATTCAAGCTTAGTTCTTTTGAGGGGATGAGAAAAAAGGAATAGAAAACAGGTAAGTTCAAGGTTATTTTAACTGAGGCCATACTGTTAATATCACTTGTGAGATTCTCCAGTCACATTTTAAACATACTGATCCTGTCTTCTTTTTCCAGGAAAGACTGTGAAGCAACTTAAAGGATAAAATGAAGAAAGATAAACTTGACCCCAGAAAGTAAGGAAGCCAAGGGTAGAGTCAGAGCTCAAACTCTACCATCAGGCCTGTCCATAGTAATTAATTTACGAGGCAATATATTGTCACTCAGCTTAGTAGTCAGTGTAGAGGGAATCTATTCACCCATTCAACAGATCTTTTAGTGAGCATGTACTATATACCACACACAAATTAAAAGTTTAGTATGTGACAACTTTATGGTATCTGTAAAAGAACACCAGAAATAGTTACCCAGGGAGCTCATCTGGAGAAGTTTCTGTTGTGGAATTTTAGAAAAGAGATATTTGGGCAGGTGCAAGTCAGTACAGGACATAGAAGTACATGCTGTTCTGTTAATGTCCCTTGTGTTAGGGAGGTGTTAGGATACTGAAGCATGGTTCATTGAAGAGGAATGTGTGAGGATGCTGATTACCTGGCTCCCTCCACAAGTAAAACCTAGAGTCTAGAGGAGGCCACAGGTGGTTGTGCACAATTCCTTGCTTGCCTAAGAAGCCAGGTGGCAATTCGAATAAAGCGTGTTGAGTCTTACCTACAGTACCTTCTAGTTATTAATGCAACCTTTCTGGTGTTGAGCGGTCCCCTCCCATGGCTCTCTTAGAGTGCGTGTATGAAATCAGTTTGAGAGTGGATTGAAAAGGGTAGGACTGCTTTCCCTTGTGATTTGGGCATCATTGTCACCACTGCTGGCAACAGCAGCAAAAACAGAAGTCACGGATAGCACTTCACTGTCTGAATTAGTGATTTTTCTAATTGCTTTAACAATCATGTTACATATGTAACAATTGTATGTTAACACTCAGTGAATTGACAATACAATAAAAAAAAACTGAAAAATTACCACAGTGATGTCTCAGTGTAAATGATTGCCATGACCATTTTTATTTTAATATTTGATAAATGCCTCCCCAGTCCATAGTACTCTGCAAGGAAGCTTTGGAGTGCTGTAGCCATTGATCTTCTAAACATATTGTTGTGGTGGTTGCATTGGAATGGGACCCTTTAACTGGAAGGGTCTCAGTTACTCAGTGAGACACTTTTTGCTCTGTGGATCTTCAGAAGTATAAACAAGGCTCTGTTTTCAAGGTTCAGAGAGATATCTGAGAAGCCAATGCATTGAAGAACTCCCTGACTTCTATAGTTCATTTTATTCCAAAACTGTCACTTCCCATGGAATTACTTTTGGTGATTCACATTGCGGTATCTAATTATGGATCTTAAAAGCACAGAGCAGAGAAATAGAAAGCTAAACACTCTGAAATTTTGAGGGACAGTGGTTTTTTCAACCTACTGATTACTCCATGCTTTAAGTAGGGCCTGGAATGCTAATTGTTCATAGTTTTCACCATAATGTCATTAAAGTTACTGTGGCTTCAAAAAAAAGTGTGGTGTTCCACATTCACATGTGCTTAATAATTTTCCACCTAGTAAAAGGAGATCATAATGTCAGCCCTGTCCAGGTAACCTAGAATTCTTGTCCTATAAATTGAAGCGTTTATTGCTGTCCCTAAGGAAGCAAGGGAGGGGCCAGCAGGTCACTTTCTACTGACAGAACCTTCGAGTGTGGGGAGATTGCTCTAGGGAGCTCTGCAGAGTGCCCTTGTCCATGTTGAGAGAGCATAGAAATCCTGGGAAGCAGCTGGGTACGCTGAGGAGGTTGCACACAACTCAAGTACTTCCAGAGTCACCCATGAGATAGTCTCTTAAGGAGAGCCATCTTTTATTTCTGTATCCATTACATGGTAACTTTGGTTTGCTTAAAGCTACTTTGTTAAGCCATGAATCTTGATTTTGAGCATGTTATATTTTAAAGAGCAGAGACTGGTTTCTATTCTGTTTTTTGATGGGTTTATTTGTAAGAATATTTAGGTAGGTCAGGAAGAGAGAACACAGTCTCAGTTGCTGCATGGGATGTGAGGATGATCTGGCTGTGACATCTGTCATATCATTGATCGCCAGGGCTGATCCGGGTGATGTGGCTGGCTAGGCGGGTGTCCCTTTCTTCCCTCCACACTTCATCTCAGTTAATGGGGATGACCCCTGGAGGACAGTTCCTCCTTTGAGGGTGTATGAGTAGCTGTGCTCCCCTGCTTAGAACCTCCAAACAGGCTCTCAGCTACTGCACAATCAGACCTCATGGGGATCTGGAATAACATCAAGATATCACAGAAGTTCAGTTTTGATTGTTTTTGTTCACCATTTCAGCCTCACGCCTGTGTTTATCACCGTATTTTTTTTTTTTTTTTTTTTTTTTTGGATACCGGGCATTGAACTCATGACTTCACATTTGCCAAGCAGGCACTTAAGCTGCTGAGCTAAATCCCCGGCCCTATCGCTGTATTCTTAACCATTAGTTGAATATATGAGTTCCCAGTATGCTCTACTGATAGGCTTATTATGCTATGTTTCCAGCCATCGTCTCTCCACAGTACAACTTCTGTTTGCTTCGAGCCTTTGCTGCTCTGTAGCTTCTGCTTATTTACTCTGCTCTGTACAGTTTCCCTTTCTCTTGCCATGACCTCATGTATAGATTGTGTTTATCATTCAGATAGAGAGGTTCTGCTTCGATGGGTCCAGTGGGTACTATTATACCACAGTATAATAATCAGATGTGTTTGGTGGCCTTTGGGTCAGGGACCTGTCCTGGTCCACCTACCTATCTGTGGTCAACTCTCACGGTCACTTGTTCATAAGGGGAATGTGGTTATGGCAGATGCTTAGAATGTTATTCGTGTAATAATAACTCAGAATTGATTGGTACTCACTTATGTTCTAAACTAGATTCTAAGACATGGGAGAACACCCTATATGGAAAAACACTGGCTGAGTCAAGCCTGATGGAGGAGAAAATTCTATGATCTTAGCTAGGCACAATGGGAAAGGTTAAAGAGTAAGCCAAAGACAGGTGTGGGGGTTTGCCTGTAATTCTAGCAGTTTGGGAGGCTGAGGCAGGAGGATTCAAGTTTGAGCCCAGTTAAGGCAGTTTTGCAACTTAGTGAGCTGAGATCTTGCTGTATTGCTCAGACTAGTTCCAGAATTTGTGAGTGCAGGTGATCCTGCCCCTTCAGTCTTCCATCTTTTCTCAGAGATTTCAGGTGTGTCACCACACTCAGTTTGCACAACTTTATGGAATATAAGTGGCTGGTCACGTAAGTTTTTTAATCAGAGAAAGCTCAAATCTAGAAAGACTCCATCCTACTTTACTTTTGCATCATATTGGAAAAGTACCATAAATAAAGAGCTTCTAATTAATGGGTTTTGTCCCTATAGTGAGAGTGTTGCTCTAACACTAAATTCTAGAGTTTTGCTTTTCTTCCATGGAATGTCATCATCCTTAATGCCATTGTAGCAATTCTTCAGAAGAGGAAATGTTCCCAGGGACATTATGAGATTTAGGATTTATTGAAAAGGTTACTATATATACTGGGATGTTTAAACCCAGCTGGAAATCTGAGAATATTTAAAAGATATCTTTAGAGCTAATATTTCTTGATTTCTACCTTCCTCTTGCCACAATCATATATTCTTAGCTACCACTGTCATCAGCAAGGCTGAGTTCTCTAATTGCCAACTTTCTTTGACTCAAAAGAATTAAAATCACGGGAAACTTCTGCTTGGTGCTTTGTTGTTGGTTTGTTTCCTGTGGTGCTGGGGATGGAACATAGGGTCTTGCACATTCCATGGGCAGACACCACTACTGAACTACACCCTCGTTATTGCTTGGGTCCTGTTTTGAAGGTTGATCTAACATTCATCGTGGTTGCACATTTGAATCTTGCCATATATTTGATATTCCAGGTACCTGATACTCTACTTTACACACAGAAGAGACTCAATGAAGAACTCACTGATGTTACTTACCATTGTAAATTAACAGGGTCATTGTTTCAGGCCATTTAACCTCATGTAGTTTCTTTGTCATAAATGTCACCACCCACCTAAATGTCACCTAATGTTTGCCAACTTGAATTCAACTGAGTGGGGGGAAGACTCAGTGAAGAAGGATTAACATAGACTTATGTTCATAACTGGAAAATACCAGGTGGTCAGTTTTTCTGTAGTAGTAAAGCCAGGATGCTGGGTCGATTAAATGTAGCTGTTAAAGCACTACAGATATTTGGTAGAACCTAGCTTGGCTACTTTGTAGTATGATTTTAGACAAAATACTTAGAAACTTTACCTAAGCCCAAGTGCTTCATCCTCCAAATGCAAGAAAACCTAGGATCTATTTGATGGGGTTAGTAGCAATGTTTAAATGAAAGAAGGAATTGGAAGTTCTTGGTACAGTGCCTGACACAAAGTAAGCCCTCAGTAATATTAGTAAATATTGTCAAGAGAGTTGTTTTGAAATGTATAGCTCATTTTCAGTAGCATGGAATGAAGTGTGTGTGTGTGTGTGTTTTTAAGGTTAACAGTAATTCAGTGATAGTTTTTTCCCCTTAAGTACTATAGTATTGTATACATACATTTGGGAGAGGAAGAAAGATAGTTTATATCTTGTAATATGAAGGTTGGCTATAGGCAAACTCACTGGTACTGTTTTTCTATCCAGAGGTAAAGAATATCTTGCTCTATAAATTCAGGCTTTTTCATGCTAATAGTTTCCAACATTCAATGAGGCATTTCTAGGGAGGCTTTTTTTGTTAATTATAATAGAAATAGAGTTCTCCACAGTGGAATTTCTTTCTTTTTTTGAAATGTTACAAACGTGATTGATTTTTAAAACTACTGATGAATTGAACTGTTGTCTGAAATACACATTCTCAGATTTTTCCCTTTGTGTTTATGTAGGTGAGACGGGAATTGGCAAATCCACATTAATGGACACTTTATTCAACACCAAATTCGAAAGTGACCCAGCTACTCACAATGAACCAGGTGTCCGGTTAAAAGCCAGAAGTTACGAGCTTCAGGAAAGCAATGTTCGGCTGAAGCTAACCATTGTCGATACTGTAGGATTTGGAGACCAGATAAATAAAGATGACAGGTACGTCTTAGAATGCTGTGGCGATATAAATGGGTGAAGAGGTAGTAGGCTCTAGCCTGGGTGTATTCAGATGCTAACAGTTTCTGGTGTTTTTTTAGTTGCGGGGCTTGGTCCTCTTATCACCTGAAAGATAAGATATTTTTGTTTTCAGAGAAATTTTCTGAGCATATTCTTTTTAGAGATCAGAATTACAACACAATCAGTTCTAGCTGGGATAAGCAGAAAAAGGAATTTGTTGGGAGGAATAAGATTGTCTATGCTATTTTTCTAGGAACATCTGAGAGCCAGGTTTGGGGATTTTTCTACTAGGAAAGTGAGAAATAACTAATCCTGCAGAATAGTATTAATAGAAAAGCCTGATGTCAGGTGCTATTCGCTGCATGGAACCTGTGCCTCAAGAGGAGGGCACGAGACCCTCCACATCTGTCCCAGTCACCAGGTGTCCTCACATTGTGTCTACTTCTGTGTGGCTCGGCCTGTTTTGCTGTCTCCGTGCTTCCAGGCCTTGCGCAGCTGCATCTGCTGGCAGAAGTTGAGTCACATCCAGAGTATTAGGAGGAAGAGATCCTGTAAGATATAGCTTTTGGTTTCGGTTTGTTTCGGTTTCCATTTTGGTTTCTTTTTCTCTCTGTAGAGTAAGAAGGCATTAAAAAGTAAAAGGAATTTGGATGAGCATCTGCCATGCTGTCTTAGTCTCTGAAGCAGAGTGGGATATTTGACTTGATACCCAAACACAAGTTGGATGAAAACAGTCATTGTGATTTTGCCTAGAAAGCCATAGCACAGGACTGGGAGACCACACTGTGGTTGGGCTTTGCCAGTAAGAAACTGTGGACCTTGGAAATGTACCTGACTTTTCAGAGGAGTATGCTGTGTGTTCTCTCAGGTGTTTTCCAGTGCTAGTGTATGTGAAAAGTTGGGCCCTGAAGAGGGGTGTGGTGAATATGAGGAGTTAGCCTGTGTTTTGGTATCTTTTGCCAAAAGTGATATTAAAGTTCCACACTGAAGAAAAAATTTTGATTGATATGCTAGAAAAATGCTAAAAGAGCTTCCAGCTGGTGTAGGATCCTGACTCTGATGGTCATGGTGTAGCTGAGGCCCTTGTGCAGTGTCTGGGTCTTCTCTTGGGCTGCTCAAAGGTGAACAGCACTTCGGATACAGAATTTGCCAAATTGAGTGAGTAGTGATTAGAGTCTCAGTCAAGCCTAGTGAAGAAATCAAATAATTGGATAAAGTTTCTAAGCAGATTTCTTAAGCTAGGTAATTTATGCTACAAAATTCTGTGAAAAATGGTCATGTGTCACCTAGTTAAGAAATAGAATATTTTTTAAGCATTTCAGTCCAATAGTTTTGTGAATAAGGTTCCTAGCCACCAGTCCGTGTTGCATATTCATTTGTTAAGACTGGCTATCATTCTTTCTATAAACTTGAAGATGTAATTATAAAATAATATAGTGAGCTTTTATTTTGTAAAATACATTGACCCCATTTGTAAGCCACCTAAGTTTGGGTCTACTGTATGGACTGCTGTTAGCCCTGTTTTGATGGGTGCTGTTAATCTTTGAGACCTCCCATGCAAATCCACATGTGAATCCTGCTCTCAAGATCGTGCTCCTCTTCCTTCTTAAGAGCACCAATCCTATTCAATCTTGAGTTTAAATGTCATGATTATTTTAAAATATTGCACTCATTCTCAAAAGAAGTTTGGGAAAGTTAAAAGTTCCTAAAAATGGTTCTAGACTGAGACTTCCATATACATGGTTGAGCACTGACACCCTTACAGGAATGTCCCATACAGTGACCAGTGTATAGAAGTGTGTCATAGTGTGTTTCTTGGAGGCTCAGAAATTTCATTAGTGCCAAGATTTTGGTTTTTAAACAAATTACCCTGAAGCCAGACATGGTGGCGGTTCTAGCACTCAGGAGGCTGAGGCAAGAGGATGATTGCAAGTTCAAAGCCAGTGTGGGCTGCCTCGTGATTTCAAGACCAACCTGAACTGCATTAACAAGACCCTGTCTCAAAAAAATATATATATGTGTGTGTGTGTGTGTGTGTGTGTGTGTGTGTATCCTGAAAACTGGACATGTTATGCACAAGTATTTTTTTATGTAGAAGTGTGCTTTGTCTAGATATATTTTAATAATCTCCAACAGGAATATGAACACAACAGTACTGACAGAAATATTTAATCCATTCTTTCAGCTCTGAACTCTTCATTGTGTCTCTGGAGCTTTTTGAAAGCCCCTCAGATGTTGCCCTGTGGCAGCAGGCATAGTTGTTAGTTGTGATGAGAAAGACTGGTTAGAGAGGACACTGTGTGTGGTTCTGGAGCCAGGACAGCGGAGCTCTGACACTGCAGCTGAGCAGGGACTCTTAACTTCCAACCTTGGTGTCAAGTAATGACAGGTTACTGACTGAAGATTGCCTGTAATACCAAGTAAAATAAATGAGGAACAAGTGCTGGAGACAAGAAAAAGGACACAGGAGCACTGTGGGAGGGACTGAGCAGGGTGTCTGAGCATGGCACACTTATACAACACATGGGGCAAGGCCTCATTTACAGTTCTCAGCCCAGACGATTCTTCCTGGGGTTAGAGAATCTCATGTTCATGCATCCATTGACTGAGCCTTGTCTTAGTTACTTTTCTTGTTGCTGAGACAGAATACCTGACACCCAAAATAAAAGGAGGAAATTCACAGTTTGTAGAGGTTTCTGAGCATATAATTGGCTGGCTCCAAGGCAGAGTGGCATGGTAGAGGGCTGTGACAGGGAAGAAATAGTTAATGCCAGGCGGAAGGCTACAAGTGACAAGCAGCAACCCTCTTTTTGTCCCTTGTGTCTTAGTCAGCCAACACACCTTCATGGAAGGTAGCCCTCACACCCAGGATGAAGCAGCCTTAATCCTACCCAGAACTGTGCCAAACCACTCATTGGGCCAGTTTACATACCCTTGGTGCCAGCATCATGTACTCCAGAACCAGACATCTCCAAAAAGCCCCACCTATGACTCCATGAGATTTTGGAGGGACTCAGAACAGCCCTTTTTAGGATTCCTACAGGAATAAGTATGTCTTCTATCTAGTATCTTACTGCTGAGATGACATATACCCAGCTGGGCATGGTGTCACATGCCTGTAACTACTTGGGAGGCTGATGCAGGAGGATTATGATTTCAAGATCAGCCCAGGCAATTTTGTAAGACTGCTTCAAAATAAAAAGGTGTGGGATGTACTTCAGAGCACATGCCTAGGATGCACTAGGCCCTGAGTTCAAACTTTAGCTACTCCCCATCCCAGAAAAAAAAAAAAAAAGGAACGAAAGAAAGAAAAGAGATGATTTCCCCTGTGCTCGTCCAGCTCAGTCATTGCCTTAGCACTGCCACTAAAATTGTGTATTTTGCCTTTCCTTCAAAAGAGGACTTTCCTCAGGCCAGAGGGTCTCACTGAGTGACAAATCACTAAGCCAGTACAATGCAGATTCTTGTATTTGCAGCTGGAGTCTTCTTTAAGAAATTATCTGACTCATTTGGGTCAAATAATAGTTTCCAAGGAGATCTAGAAGAGAGGAAGTGTAATGTTAACCTAACCTAGATACCAAATATTTTTTCTTCTGAAATTTCTTGACAGCTGTTGTGTAATCTCTGTGAGTGGCATTTGAAATACTTAAATACCGTATGCCTCAGAAGGCATTGTTGACACTGTTGACTTCAAACTCAAATGACTTGTTTAAAGTAGTTATTTGGATAGGCCTTGCTTCCATTAAGAAATTAGAAGTGAAATGTACATTTTGCAGCAGCATGTGACCATGTGGGAATGATGTGCTCTTCTCTAACCCGTGATAATTTTTACTCTCCTGTGAATTAGGCAGGCTTTTCTACCATACATGTAAGACTTTAAGAATGTCTTAGTTTGTTTATGTAGGCTTTGGACATGTTAGCATTCCCACATCATTATCTGCCTCTGGCCAGGCTAGCTAGAAGGAGGCAGGAAGACAGATCTGGTAAGGTTTCCTGTCCTGTTCTTTTTTCTTGCCCAAGGGCTTCCTTGCTTTGGCAGTCTGTATTCCTTGAAGGAAGTCTCTAGAGAGGAAGGGAAACCAAGTTTTGCTCTCCAGCTCCAATAGAACTGTTTGCTACTCCCCTCATCTGACTTGGGGAGTGGGAGGTGGGCTGTCTGTGGCATATCATGAATTATAAGGATAACTCTAAAAACCATGGGTGATCGGAATCCACTGAGAGAGAAAATCTTTAAGCTCATCCAATCTTTGAGAGTCATACAATAGTAGTGAAGCAGACTGTTTGCCCTTGAAAGTTTTTTATTACACTTCTGGGCAGTGGTAGTCCAGGGTTAAGGGAAATTGTCTTGACTAAGAGATAGCCTGAGGAAAACATAGTAATGGTGTGATCATATGTAAAATGAAGATTCAGACCCTGAATGGTGACATAGGCCATTTTGCAAGAATGATCAGTTGGTAGGATTGATGGACAGAAAATATTGTTGTCTAAGAAGACTTTTCTAGCATTTTTAGGAGGAATTTTTGTGGTTCTTATTATATTTTTATGGGTGAAATTTTTAATGAGCCTATAACAAGACTGCCTCCATGTGTTAAGAGGGAATTACACAAAAATGTAAAGACTTGTTTGGATCCCCCCCAATATACACACTTGGTATGGCTATAATCCCAAGAAATTTGATTTGCTACACAGAATATAAATAGGAATCCTTTTTTTTTTTTTTTTTAAAGTCTCTGCAGCCATGTAGTTCAGGCTGTCCTTAAACTCACTATGTAGCCCAGCTGGCTTCAAACTTAAGGTAGTCCTCCTGCCTCAGCCTCCCTAGTTCTGGAATTACAGGTATGTGCCACCATGCTAGACTGAGTATCGTTTTTTACAAGTAGAAACTAGCAAAAGGCAAAATTGGAGTTAAGGCTTTTCTTTCTTCTGACTGTGAATACAGTTAGTAAGTAGAAAGGATAGCATTAAAGGGAAGGGCAGAAGATTTGTTTCTGGAATTTTGAGTTGGAGTATAAACCATATAGCTGGTATGTTTCTCATTAAGAGGAAGCTGTTTTATTTGCATAATTAAATGTTTGATTCAGGAAGTAGTGGTTTCTGTAACTAGATCTCCAAAAGAACATTGCTTCCACTGTTTATAGTGCCACAGAAGGTAAGGTAAGAAGGGGTTTCACGTGTGACTGAGAGAGAGGAGATCTCTAGGATCACCTGGGTTCCCAACTCAGATAGGGTTGTGTGTTGTGGCACCCTCACTGTGCTGGGCATATAGGGACCTGTGAGTGTTGACAGGGTAGAGTTTGGTTTTGGATAAATTTAGTTAGAAGAACACTTGGAAATATCTGAAAGCAGTTCAGTAGATGAGGCTCTGAAGCTCAAGAGAAAGATCTGGGCAGAGGTAGAAATGTGTACCATGCCATAAATTAGATGGTCAGTGAAACATGGCATTAAAAATGATTTTGTGGGGACTGGAGATTTAGCTCAGCAGCATAAGCGCCTGCCTTGCAAGCAGGCAGTCATGAGTTCAATCCCCCGTACCGATAAAAAGGAAAAAGACAAAAAAAAAAAAAAATTTTGCAGAGAGACCACAGCATGTGAGGAGGAGGAGGAATGAGAGACTGGCCAGGAGTGTCTACCAGGCAGGCAAGGGAGGCCTAAGATGAGAGAAGAAAACAAAAGATTTGTGCAGCCAGCTGAGAAAGCTTGTTACCTGCAAAGGGGATATGCTGTGCTTCCCGTGGAATCAGAATGAAAAGCAGAGACAAGAAGGAAAGTTGACAGAAAGCAGACATGTCCTTAGAGTACTGCCGAGCGGAGACAGAGAGCTCAAATTCAGAGCTCTCTGAATTTGGGGAGCCGTTAAAGACAAATGCTATGAACTGAGCGGAGAGGGCCCCAGGAATGACCCCTGGTGCCAGGACACTGTCTCTGTGTCAGCTCAGGCATGGTGAGCCCTCTGGGAATGGGCCGTCCATTCTGCCACACAGGGCAGGTACTCTGGACAAAACCCTCACCAGGGAATCCAGAAGGCACTGAGTTCCTGTGGGTTTGGGTTTTTTTCCTGATTGTGTATGTGTCTGTTCAATCTTTTTAAACCTCAAGCTTTTATCTGTTTTTGCATATATTATTTTTATGAAGTAGATGTGTTACTTTCACATGCTAGTCCTTTCTGATAGAAGTACTGTTTCTGTCTTTCATTTCCCTGTGAGGAAAGTGGGACACAGAGAGGTTTATGACTTGTCCACGGCCATTCAGCCAGTGACTGAAGCTAGATTGTGATCTGAGGCATCTGGCTTGAATCCAGGTGTCTAACCACCATCCCAGGTAACTACCCCATAGTAATTAGGATTATTGTGGTGTAATTTTAAAATTGGAAAATAAAGAAGACTCTTATTACTCATGTACCATCTTTTGCGATTTGCTAGTTATGATTCAGAGGCATATTGTACTATTTTTAAAGCCTCAAGAGATTTTGCATGCTTAAATTGAGTCAATGAATTATGAACAAATCATCAGAGAAAATGCCATCAAATATTTTTATTGACTATTTTCAGTTTGGGCCATATATTTATTACTGTAGTTTATTTGGGGGCTATTTTGGAGTGTCTACTGACATTCTTATAAAAGATTTGTAGTGCCCTTTCAAGGCTCTTAATTTATGAGTTAGAGATTTGGGCGTCAAATGATTTTTACTTTTCTTACAGTTTAAATTACTCCTCAGAAAGGCAATATGGTTGTGGAGAACTAATCATTTAGACTACTAATAGGTCCTTGCTGCTAAATTGAGTTTCTCCTGAGCAGTTGCCCCTTTGGGAGTCTGGAAAGATTAGTGGGTTTCCCATAGTGACCTAACCTACTGCTTCTCCTTGGGGAACTTGCAGTTATTGAATATGTGTTCCCAATATGCTGTTAATGGTTGTGTTTCTGGTCAGCTAATCATATGTAACTGTCCAAACTATGACTGAATTAGGAAACAAAGATTGTCTTTAATTATCCAGCTTTCAAGTTGGAAAGAGTTTCGAAGATTGTAGTAATGCAGGCTGCTCCATTTTGAGAAGTCTAGAATGTGCACTGGCCCTTGGAGCCCAGAGTCCCTGGTTACTGGAGGAGCCAGGAAGAGGATTGGGAGCAGCCTGAGATTACAAGCCAGTTTCATTTCCTGGGTCTTCACTTGGTTGAGGGTTTCAGAGTCAGTGTATTGAGATGGACTTAAAGGCATAGTTTTGGCCCAGCAGGAAGGAATGACACTCTCTCTTAACAGTATTTCTCATGGGTGCCCTGGCAGAGGAGGCAGTATGCTCCACGTATTTATAGTCTGCGTTTTTGTTTTCATTTTATTCACTGATTCATTCATTCATTCATTTGCAGTATTGGGGATTGAACCCATGACCTTCACACTGAGTTACATTTCCAATCCTTTTTTGTCTTTTATTTTGAGACAGGATCTTGCTAAGTTGCTGAGGGATCTTCCTGCCTCAGTCTCCCGAGTAGCTGGGTTAATAGCCATGTGTTGCCATTCCCAGTGTAGTGTCTGTCAAAGGATGAGTTGTGCAAGAAGAGTGAGGAAGAAGACTCTTCCACTAAAGGGGTCAGCCGAGCAGGGGCAGAGGGACATGAGGGCTGAAGTGTGGGACGGGTACACATGATTGTGTGTGTTGCTAGGGCAGAAAACACAAGCCAGTGAGTGAGTAGGAGAGATGATGGGGAGGTGATGAAGAGTCAACTTGGAAGCCAAAGTTACAATCTGGGCTCTAGCTCTTGAAGAGGATGGAGCCACAGTGATGTTTCGCAGGGGATGGTCTTCACTGAACTACAAAAAGAGCTGACAACAGAAACACAGTGATTTGAAAATGTGTTTGCCAAATATTCTTCTGTATTCTAGCTATAAGCCGATAGTGGAATACATTGATGCCCAGTTTGAGGCCTACCTGCAAGAGGAATTGAAGATCAAACGGTCTCTCTTCAACTATCATGACACGAGGATTCATGCTTGCCTTTACTTCATCGCCCCTACTGGACATTCACTAAAGTCCCTCGACCTGGTCACCATGAAAAAGCTGGACAGTAAGGTATGGGTCCATTTCAACTTCTGTCCCCTCTCCCCTTAGGTCATCTCTTAAGGCCCCAGTTTATTCTCTTTCAGTGTAATTTGTTTTTTTCTGGATTATAAAACCATAGGGTTTGGTGGCGGAATGGAATGGCAAGGTATGGAAACCCTCACTCATCCCGCACTGTAGACCTTGGGAACTGGAACCTGGCCCTTGTCCTGTTGGTGTGGGATCTTGGGTAGGAGGGCTGCTTTCTGCACTGCCACATCCTCGGAAGCCCACATCCCCCTTTTCTTGGGAGAACCACAGATAGCCTGAAGGTAGTATAGCGAGGTGGGTTCTGACCTGAGGTCCAAGTATGTTGCTCAAGCCAGGATGACAAAATAACTATGTTTTGACTTAAAAAGGAAAAAAAAAAAAAAAAAAAAAAAAAAACAGGCAAGACAAACCAAAAACCCAGCCACAAAGCAGGTTAAACTTTTAATTAACGGAATTGTTCTAGAGATGGAGAATTAGGTAACATCTTAAAATGGTGCTTATCAGAGTCAGATTATACAAGTAAAGAGAAAAGATAAACAGATGTGGTCATTTCACAGAAGTTGATCACGCTTTTGCTAATGAGGGAAGACAGATCATAAAATTAAATTGCTTGGTGGCTGTATCAACTCTGATTAATTTGGCTAAGAAAATATGAATCTCTCCCCTTTTGTCCAAGTTGGTATTCACTGAATACTTGATGTGTGCACAGACTCCATAGGGGAATGCCTGTGCCTTGGGTCCTGACCCAAACCTGTCTCTGCTGTCACTGGGGTTTCCTTGTGTCCACAACCTGCTGGAGGAAGTCAAGGTTGGGTGGGGGCTCCAGAGTGTGCTGAACAAGAGCTTCTGGTCATCATGTCATCTCCTGGTGTCTCATCAGGGACTTCAGGTTTGGGCCTCATGATCCTAAGGAATTGCTAAAGAATGTGGACGGACCTCAGAACCCTTCCCAAAGGCTCCATGTTCTTGGACTAGGTGTTGAGCGTGATCTTAGCTCACAGATGTCAGGACATCTTGTTATCTACCAAGGAGAAAAAGAAAATAAATCCTAAAGCATAAATTTTTTAAAAATGGGAAAAGAATGTCCCAACATGGGGTTGGAGCCTTGCTGTGGAGTGGCCCTGGCTCTCACCCCAAGCTGTTTGCCATTCATGGCAGATTCCAGTTCGCTCTTGTTCTGGGTGACAGAGTTTTGGGAAGTAAGCCTTGGGTCTTATTCTGGCATGAAATAATTTGATAGAGCCTGTTTCCAAAGGAATTAGCTGATGTGTATTTGAGAAATTTAAAAGTAGGTGAAAATACCTTTGTTTTGGTTAATACTTAGATTCTCTTCTTCCAGCAATTTTCAGGGCATCAGAAGAAAGGACTTTACTCTGCACAGAGCTGCCACTACACTGCTCTGGCAAACAAGAACTTTGATAGTGCCCTGTTAGGGCCTGCAGTATGCAAGCACTCAAAGATGCTGGGAGGGCACTTTAGGAGGGCTTGGTTATTTAGAGGGTAGGCTCCTTTGTTACTGCTATTTGTCATAGAATAGTAATACTTCCTTTTATTCTGTAAAGTAGAGTGAGGTAGCACAGGAGAGGAAATTACAAGTATGCCTTCATTGTCAGACAGGAAGAAATCAGAGTGTGTAGAGAAAGAACTATCCCTGATTGTCTTAGTTTTGTGACTAGTAGAATATCTGATTTTCAGTATCTTCTGTATTTTTACAGTGAAGTTTTGAGTTTTTTATTCACGTGCTTGCTGTGTTTTATTTACTAATTTTTTATATGTTAGAATTGTAACAGTAGACATGTATTTTTTATAGGTGAACATCATTCCAATAATTGCAAAAGCAGACACAATTGCCAAGAATGAACTGCACAAATTCAAGAGTAAGATCATGAGTGAACTCGTCAGCAATGGGGTCCAAATATATCAGTTTCCTACAGATGAAGAAACAGTTGCGGAGATTAATGCGACAATGAGTGTGAGTCCTCAAGTATCATGGGGATACCTGGCTTTCCTGGGAGCTTGTTTTGGCAGCTGCGTTGCCTAGGGACCTGAGGTCTTCAGTTTGGGTTCAGCTCCATCACCCTTAAAGCCTGTGCTTCAGTTTCCCCAGCTGTCATGGGAGAGTTAAGACAGAATTTCCTTTAAATCTCTGGGAAGGAAATGCCAGTCTGGCTTATTCAGGAAAGAGATCTCTTCTTGTTTCTGGTGGTGTTGCCTCTGCTTTGCTTTGGTGGTTGGCTCCTGCCTACCCTTTCCCCTCCATACAATTTTGCTACATTTTCAAGTCATTAGGTAAATTGGCAGTTGCAGGTACAATGTCCACATCATGGAGAGAAACCATAAGGAGATAAGGAGATGTGGATCCCCATTGTTCAGTGTGTGCTTTGAGGGTAACCCTCACTGCTGAACCTGCATCCTGTCTGCTGCCACCGGGCCCTTCCCACTACCTCATGTGTCTCCTAGCTCTGCTGCATCTGTTCATTTCTTGTTTCATTTTGAGGATGCGTAATTTCTATAAACACATCATTCTTTGTGTGCCCAATAATGATTGTTGGAAGTTAGGATGTAATAGGACAGATGCCATAAAGATCACCAACCAGATTCCTTTAAAAGAGCTGAAACTGAGGAGAAAGAGCTGCAAAGGAATTGCTCTACTCTGAAGTGAATGTGTGACTGATGGAAGAAATGCCTTGTTAAGTACTAGTTCTCATGCCACGTGGTTGGTGGGCAACAGTTCTGTTTGAACCTATTTAGAAGTTCTGTAAAAGGTGGTTTTTACACAGGTTAAACTGAATAATATATAGAATCTCCTCTATCCCCCAATATTCTTTGCTATGAGTTTTGAGAATTTTACAGTCTTAGTGGCACCTGATACTTTTGATTTTATAGAGCACTTACTGTTTCCCAGAGACTAGCCAAGGCTTTATGCATAACCCTCAGAACAGCCTCATGGGTAGGGGGTAGCTGTTCCTACCTCAGGTGAAGAATGTGGACTGCATAGCCCTGGCAGTGGAGGAAGACTTGAACCCCGCCAGTGTGGCCCTTGAGCTGACACTCCCACTCTTGAGAATTGGCACCACGTACACAGAGCAGTATGCATGTCTCATGGTGTGTCTAGAGCTCCAGCCAAGGTGCCATGTGTATCCTGCTGTAGAACCAGACATCAAAATGAATTCCATCTGCTTTCTCATTTTATCCTTCTCCATCTTTCTAAATAATGTTTCATGGTCATGAAACTAAATTTGTGTTAAACTTCTTGGGAAGAAAATATCCATGAACTTTTGCTCTTTCTTGTTAACTTAATGGAACTGAGGATTGTTGATGTTTCAGACTAATCCTGCCCTTTATGAAGATGTCGTCTGCTAAGCCCTTTGTTGCAGACCGTTCTTCCCTGCTACGATGCCATCTGATGTGTGAAAGTGAAAGTTTCACTGAGGTTGCTTTTGTTATATAGACTACAGACATTTCCTTGGTCATTTATGCCAGAAAGTTGGCTGGAAAAGTCCTTTTGCTCTTCAACTTTAAAGAACATGTTTCAATTTTAGACTTGGAGTTAGGGAAAAATAACCCGCTTTTATTCCTACAGAGAGAGAGAGGAGCTAGGAAATTAACTACCTTGAGTAGTGCAGAAGGTACCAGTGGGCCAACGAGAGCCCAGGGAATTCTTGACTTGAAAAAGACTTGCTTCTCAGCTTACTGCAAGGGAGACATGGGACTAGGAAGGAGTCCTCGAGAACAGTTCTCGGAACAGCTATTCCAAATTCCCTTGTTCTTATAGAAAAACACACAACAAGTTTTCTCCTCTACCCCTAAATGTGGCCACAAGTACCCTATAAACCAGTGTTAAAGAATTGGTTGTCTTGGACATCATCTCTGCTTAAGATAAATGTAATCTTGGTATTAGGCTTGAGTCAATATCTTGGGCTAAAGTATGTTTCTGACTTGAAACTTTTATAGTGATCATGTGTGTAAAGCGGTTCCATTCATGAGAAATACAGTATGAGCTCTACAAGTGTAATTTAAGATTTTCCACTAACTGCATTTAAAAAACAATGAGAAACACAAATTTAATTTTAAAAACTTAATCTAATATATCCAAAATACTATTATTTCGGCATGTAACCAGTGTAAAATTGTTGATGAGATATTTTAAAACTAGGCTTTTGAAATCCAGGGTGTATTTTATTGATAGTATATCTCAATTCATGTTTCAAATTTTCATCAGAAATACTTGACATTATATTTTACAAAATTTACAGTTAAAAAGCAGATCCACATATTTATTTTATTCCTAATATACTTTAAGTATCCAAAATGTATTTTTCCTTTAAATTTGCATCTAAAGTGACACATCTGACCTTTTTGTTTGTTTCTGGATGATTGGAGTTTGAGGCCAAGTGAAATTTAGTCCTACCTAGCAGTAAAGTTATGTTGAATGGGAAAATATCTTATATGCTTCCATTGTAGAGACAAATTAGTTAAAAGTAAATTAAAAAGTGAGTTTCTTAGTCCCATGTCATCTTTCTTGGTACTTATAGGTAGAGCGACTGCTGTGGTGGATAGCATGTCATCACTAAAGCACTGTACAGTTGCCATAACCTAGCAGTTTCCTTTGGAATCTCCCTGATGGCAGATGTTCAGTATTTGATTGTAGGGGTGGGATATATGAAATGCATTAAGCAAGCTAGAGAGTCTTCTGACTGTTCTATGTGGCCCCTTGTGTAGACAGTGGCGACATCTGCAGAGGGGGAGAAAGAGGCTGGAGCAGAAGCAGCCTTTTATGCACTTTAGAAAATGACCAGTGTTGTCTTCTGTTGCAGGTTCATCTCCCATTTGCAGTGGTTGGAAGTACTGAAGAGGTGAAGATTGGCAACAAGATGGCAAAAGCCAGGCAGTACCCCTGGGGTGTGGTGCAAGGTATGTCCAGCATGGGAAAGGGACTCATAATGAGAGCCTGTGGTGACGGTGTCTCTGGGTACGCTTTCATCTGCTTTTCCAGCTAGGGTAAAAAAAGAAACAATAAGCAGATAGCAAGTAGTCAGTAGAGAGAAGTAACCACCACACTCTAGTGATGGTAAGCAGCTCCATAAGATATTGGGCTGTGTAAGGTAATTCAGTATCCATTTCTAGAGAGGGACAAAGAGCTCTCCCCTAGGAGTTTGAACTTGTGGTATCCACAAAATATCAGAAAGCTAAAAAAAGATTTCTTGTGAACAAGAGGGTGCATGTTTCTCCTTTATCTTTGGGAAAGTTGTCTTTCAAGTAAATGCTGTTTCAGTAAGTATCCAGGAATGGGGGATGCCTTTGGTATTTAATAGCTGCACTCACAGTTCCCAACAGTATGGCTTCAGAGCAAGTGACATGGAGTTTGTGCCTACACTCTGCTGCTTCTCTTTGGGATTCAGCTTGCTCACCAAAGCTGGGCTTTTGAACTGCAAAGCAAGAGTCACAGTGCCTGTTGAGTGTAATGATGATGAGAGTAGGGACGGGATTTATAAAGCTCCTGGCCCTGAACCTGCATGATGTAGGCAGTGAGCATTGTCATCAGCAGGGCACATGTCAGAGAACTCTTCTTAGGGCACAGTGCCAGGGAAGCCAGTGAAGCATCTTCAGATGGCCCTGAGACCTCAGGGATTTCATAGTGATATCAGTGACATCTTGAGAGCATCACTTCAGGACGTGTCACCCCCCCCCCCAATCTGTTGCAGTGGAGAATGAAAGCCACTGTGACTTTGTAAAGCTACGAGAGATGCTGATCCGTGTGAACATGGAGGACCTGCGGGAGCAGACACACGCCCGGCATTACGAATTGTACCGGCGCTGTAAGCTCGAGGAGATGGGGTTCAAAGACACTGACCCTGACAGCAAGCCCTTCAGGTATGAAGGCACCTTCAGGCAGGTGTCTCTCAGGCAGTGGCAGGGTGCCTGCTGCCTGAGGGAGGGGGTGAGTGGAGTGGCTGAGTAGGGGTAGGGTATTCATGGCACACACAGGATCACCAGGTATCGTGTTAACTGCTTGGTTTGTGTGATCTCAGCTAACTGATGGGGTGAAACTGCAATTGTAGGCAGCGCTTCCAAGTTCGTCCAGTAGTGACAGATGGGTGAGATTGAGTCCTCACTCTGTGGCTCCTGAGCACAAACTCTTAACTGTCCTGTCTGCGGAGCACAGATGCTGACCTGGGCTTTTACTAACCTATGGCTCCTAATTGCAGTTTGCCTTGTATATGTTTGCTGAATAGGCTCTCTCTTTGGGGCTTGAACTTCTCAAGCACTTTCCAGCTTTCAGTGGTCCAGGACAATTCTTAAAGCAACAGGAGCAGGGAAGAGTATACAGTCACTGATGGGCAGAGACTCAGTGTGCTGAGGGGATAGAGCTAGTGCTCCAGCAAGTGCCAAGTCCCTGTCAGAGCTGCATGATGGGGAAAGGGTTGACAGGTCTGGGGTACTGGGGCCCACACCAGGTGTGGGCTGCTCCAGTCATGGTGAAGTCCTGGCAGAAGGGAGGACAATGGAAGCAGTTTAAAAGGAATTTGAGATGATGTGAGGTGTTTTTGAGCCTGGTGCCTCTTCTCATTGGAACCCACAGTGCGTGTGAACAAACTATTTTGCTCTTCCTGTGTGGCTGGTCCTAGGGCACGCCACAGAACTGAAGTTGTGTGTGCCCAGTTGTTACTGGTAGCTTGTGCCCAGTGTGAGCAAGTTGTGTCTTCTGCGTCTGAGCTGCCTGTCCCGTCCTGTCCAAGGAGGTTTGTTTTCTCAGAATTGCTCTGGGAGTGTTTCGGTGTAGTAAGTCCTCAATTCATGAATGAGTTCTGTTGTGGGAAACGTTTGTAAGCTGGTTTTGCTTGTAGTCCTGCACACTGGGTCTTGTGCAGCACACCTGTGGAACTTCACTGTAGCGCGTGGGGTGGGCTCTGCCAGTGTGGTTTGCAGGCCTCTCAGCACAGGTGCTTTTAGTGAGAACAAATGCAAACCCCAGACAAAAGGCTGGAACTAAGCAATTAGCTTCAGGCCAAGTCTCCCTTATGTACTTCTGCTCTGGGAGCTCCTACAACTGACCACCCTCAAGCCTGTGAAAGGCACTTTCTGGTGCTGGAGGTTGAAGACCTTTTTGTATTAACAGTGACACTTGAAATACGTTTACCAGAAAATAAAGTCAATATCAATCCTTCTGTAGTTATTACAGCTGATAAAGATAACCTGTGTTTGTGTGTGTGTGTGTGTGTGTGTGTGTATAGAAAGGCTGCATTTAGTATTCACAGAGTTTGTTTTCTGCACAGATGGAACAAAGGAGCTGCCATAAAATTGAATTTATTTAGATCCTATTGAGAAATACTGAGCTAACAGTCAGGAGTCTGAATTCACTTGCTTCTTAGCCTTTTGGCTTAGGTCAAGTGAGGGAGTCTGAGTCCAAGTCCTGGCCCTGCTACTTGCTCACATCCCTAACCCATCTGGGTCAGGTCAGGGGACGAAGTCAATCTACTGAGAGGACTTTCTATAGAGGGCCATTTCTTCAGACCATGTGATCTTCTCCCTGCTGCTCCCAGAAGCTCATACAAGCTTCTCCCAGCTTGTACATTTATTCAGAAGTATCTACAGACCACAGGATAAATGAATGAGCAAGGGATGCTTCCATAGAAGTCTATGAAGACAGGTGGAAGTGCCCCACATTTGGTCTGTGGCTGATATTTCCCAGTATCCACAAACCTTGGTGGTCCGATCCTGATGAGATCATAAACTGGAGCCTGTGAACTGCCTTTAAAAGTTAGATATGTGTGACTGAGTTCATTAGAGGTAACTTGCCACTCATACTATTAAGAACCTGAATTCAGCACAGCCATGTTCTGGCATTTATGGAATTAAAATCTGTGATGCTACCCTTATCTGCCTGTGATCAACAGGAAGTGACAGGTGGGCCAGGTCCCCCCATTTGGGGAAAACCAGCCTTTCTGCCAGGGGAACTAGGCTCCTTAGGCTCTTGATAGCCTGGGTTGCTGATGATTTCCTGTTGCTGAAGGCCTGTGGCCTGCCTTGTGGTCTTGGTTGCTGGTGTTTTAATGAAGTCATCTCTGTAGTAGCAGGGTAAGTGCCCCCAGGAGGAGGCGGACTGTGAATGAGTAGGCCCAGCAGGGCTTCCACAGGCTTGGGAAGCTGCTAGGCAGCTGCTGCTCTGCGCTTCCTGTCTTCAGTTGCTTAAGGATCCTTGGGAGATGACAGTGAGGACACCTACTTTTAGAGAACATGTTTTCCACTTCCCTGTTTGGTCCCATTTTTACTGGCCTTGACTTTCATTTTTTGATGATGAAAAGGCAAAATTTATATACTTATAAATTTATGACCAATATCTTTACTCTTTTCCCTATGTAAGAAAAAAACATAAATTTGAGGCTTTTATAGGTAAATGGATGCAACTAGACACTATACCCATAAGTGAAATAAACTAGACCTGCATGTGTAAACATTATATTGTCTCCCTAGTGTGAGAAACTGAAACAGTAAGTAAGATCCAAAAGATACAGTAGATACTGTGAGAGGGAAAAAATTGCTCAAAAGGAAAGAGCTGGGGTAGGGAAAATATATGCATACACACACAAGATAGCTAAGCTAATTGTACTAATTCTGTTAGTTCATGGAAAGGAACAGTTGGTGTGCTTATATTGTTTGATCAATTTTGCATGCCTGTATCTGATAATCTGAGTAACTATTTTAAAAATAACTATGTAATATAACCACTGTTAATTTTCCATCATCTTGTTATGAAATCCTATATTGTTGTTTTGTTTTCTTTTACTAAATGTATTTTTATGTTAAATGCATTAAATGTATTTTTATTCTTTTAATAAATGTATTTCTTTCATTAAAATTTAAAAAAAGAAAAATAAGACAGGGAAAAGTGGACCTTCTACAATTAAATACCTCTGTCCCCTCAATAACTTGGACTAAGTTTTTTGTTTAGACTGGAAATAGTTTTTCCTCTTTCAGAGATATCACTCAAGACTCAGTTCCCTCCCACTGTGGGAAGGATTATTTGGAACACCAAGTTGGCTTTGAATCATACATCTGTAGACAGGTTTCCCTGTCTTGGAAACCATGACTTTAAAAAGACTCAAACCTTCCCTTGAGGACTCGTCCTGTGCACCTGGGACCATACTGAGGCAGGTGTTCCTGCATGAAGGGTGGTAGAGCTAAGGACAAGTAGAAGCCACAGTTGGCTTTAGGGACCTCCCAGAATTTCATCTGCAAAGTCACTAATCCTAAATGACCTTGGAGAGCATTTCTGTTTTGTTTTTAAAAAATATGAAGTTAGGGTAAGGATGGAGGAACGTATTTGAAATGCTTAAGATTATATTGTTCTGAAAGTAAAAGATTTCTGTTTGGTTGTGCTATGAAGTTTGTCCTTACCTTTGACATGCAGTGTCTACCCTGTGTCCCTTGCATCACACTTGTGTTGGTATCATTTTTATAAGGAAAAAGTGATGGCCACATCTTGTATGTACCACACAGTGGGAGACAAGATGAGGAGACCACCAGCAGGCGAGTCCATGGAGTGCTGGTGTCCTAGAACCTGCCTAAATTTAGAATTCTGTTGTCACCAGCTTTTGGCAGAATACAAATGCATCCAGATGTCAGCAGCTCTTTCCTGCTCCCTGTGTACTTCCCCAGCTGCTGCCCTGTGGCCTTGGAACCACTTCCACCCACCCAGATCACACCTGGCACCCCCGCCAGCTCCAGGTCCCCTCTTTCCCTGAACCGCCTTCAGAGGCTGATCCTGTCTCCCTCTAGCCACTCCTTGCTGCTTTTCTCCTTAGCCACTATTGCTCTCACCTCAGTGGCCTCAGCTCCCACAGCTCCTCCCACCTCTCTCAGTCTTACCTCCTCCAATCATGGCAGGTGTCAGGAGCATCCAGGCCACAGTTCACTGGCTGTGCAGGGGAGGGAGTAGAGTGCCCAGCTGAGTGAGGCAGTCCGGTTCTGTCTCTTAGTGCTGTGAACCGGCCAGGTTACTAAATATCCCTGTGTCCCAGTTCCTTCATCTCTAAAATGGCAGGGGATAGATAACTACATTATTGACTATTGTTAATATTAAATGAATTCACGTGTGGAAATTGCTCCATTAAAAATCCTGGTGGGAATGGTCACCCTTGGACATGTCCTGCACTAGATGGTTCCATCAGATTTGAACAGGAAGAGAATTATGACGAAATAAAGGATCTGTGTTCATTCTCCCTTTTGTTGACTTCTATGAAAGCAAAACCTTCCTCTCCTGTGGGCTGCTCATGAGAAAACTAGAAGATAAGGCCCTCAGATTTAGACCTACCTAAAACCTCATAGAATAGTTGCAGATTTCTCCTTTAGAAAAAAATTCTAAGAACTGTAATTTAAAATTAATTTTGAGAACTAAAATTGCAAATGATGTGAGTACTTCAGATATTTATGGGTGGATAAATAGAATAAGTTCTTTCTGACCTGGGATTTTATGCCTGAAAACATTGCTGAGGGTTTCTGATATCTGGAGTATTGCTCAGTTGGCAGAACCCTGTAAATATGACTATGGGTGCTGCAGTTGTGCGTTACTTGTCAGTAACTGAATGTAGTTTTGACCCTTTGGTGTAAAGTTTCAGGATATCTTTCTCATATGCTGCTGTCATTATCATTTTCCATGTCAGAGTTCAAAAGCTGGCTCGTGTCCTAGGGTGCAGTGATGGAATTAAGCAGTGGTATTGTTGAGCCTGTTCTCCTCTAGCCCAGGATGTCAGAAGTACTACCAGGCTCATGCATGGGGACTGTCTTGCCAGTGGCGAAGCTGCCCCTTAGGTTTTCCATGATATGGGACACTCCGGCCTGGGCAATGGTTCCATCATTGTCCATAGCACACATCTTCTCCAGTAACCTCTTCTTATGGTTTGCACTGTGCTTTGGTATGTTTTCTCAAGCTTTACCACACTGGTCTGGATCGATGACTGGGTCATGATCATAGTTTGAAAATACACCTCTGGAGCATAAATTAGGTTGTGACTGGGACTAGATAAAGCAGAATCGTGTTTATAGTTCTCAGTGTTCCAGGTAGCAGTGTTACTTCAAAAGGTTTCCATGATCAAACAGTCTGAGTTCTAAGTTAATCACCTTAAACAGGTTCTTTTACTAGTTTCTCTGAGCATTAAGACAAGCAGTGGTTCACTTTGGGAATCACCGGGAAGCATTTCAGAACAGTCTGTTTCATCACAGCTAGTCTGAATCAGCCTCTCTAGGAGGAGGCTTAGGAACTGGTATTTAGGAGAATACACTGAGATGTGCCTAGGTGGTCCTCTTGTGCTGCCAGCTTGGGGCTTACTCACTACCCATGTGAGTCCCCTCAGAAAGCATGCATAGCATTCTTCCCTCTTTGGACTTTGGAACCCTGTGTTCTGAGACCTTCTCTTGAAGCTATCGTATGTGGTGATCTCTAGAACATGTGTTGGGCATTGTTTCTGTGAGAGGTATCTCATTGTTAGAAGAGGAAGACACATTTGGTACACTAAAGTCAACAGCAACTGAGTTTTCTGTAAGATTTCACAGCAGGAACAAATAAGTTATCCTGAGCCTTTTGTAATTCTGACCTGAACAACAGGGGAAAATTTACTACAAGCTGATAAAATCAAACTGATATTGTTTTATAGTCTATAATCAACATAATCCTGTATCTCACAATCAGCATCCAGATCTTGAAATCCAAATATTGCTACTATTATTAGTAACATCATCATGCTCCAACTTGGTTTTCTCTTGTGGGCTAGTGTGAAAGCTGCACAGAACTCTGGAAAATCAAGCCCCAAGATGGTTCAGGAGCAGGCAGAGTTGGCAGGGTTGATTGGATAACTAATGGACGCATTAGATTCGTGTTCCTATACAACTGTTGTTCTAGGGAAGCAGAGATAGAAAAAAAGAATGGAATGAGAGTGCTAGCACCTTACAAAACATCAGCAACTGTTTGTATTATGTATGTGTGAATGGGGTGATGGGTGTTTTGTTGTTGTTTCGTTTTTGATTGTGTGACCAAAGGCACTTTCTATATAAATATCTTTGTTCTGATTTAGAGGTAAAGCTAAGTCAGTGGCATTTAAGGTATTAGGTTCTAAGTTTTGTAGATAAGAAGAAAACATAAAATGAAAGTAAAACTCCTCTCTGTTCTATTTACAATTAGTAATTCAACTAAATAGCAATTTTCTACACTATGTTTAGAGGCAGTCTTATGTCTATAGTTTGTTCACCTGATTGGGGGCTGGAGAGAAATGAGGGGAGTGAGGAGGTGTTACTAAGCACTGATTAAAGGTCAAATCCTTGTGCTCACTTCTGCCTGCATTTGATTGCGACATCCCAGGAAGGGGAGTGTTTCTGTGTTCTGTGTCGACTCCTTATGCATTGGGAAGCTTGGATAGGCTGTGCTTTCCCAAGATGAGTCAGTGATAGGACAAGAACTCAAACCCTAATCTGACCCCATGCCTCTCCATTTTACCCTGTCCCCTCCCGTCTTCTTCACTTCAAATCATATTCAAGCCAAAGCTTTCCCTATGTGAGTATGTGTCACACCACACCCAGCTGGTTCGCCACACATGTTAGTATTTGCTGCATTGTGGCCCCTGACTTATTCGAGGTTTTGATATATTTTTCTGTCCTATCACAGCATAAATGAGACAATGTCATTTTATCTGAGCTTTGATTGGTAAACAGGAGCTTCATCTATTTTTGGAAGTAGATGGATAGAGATGATATGAACTTATTATGCAATTTAATGACCCTGTCTTTGGTTTATGGAATTTTAGTCTTCAGGAGACGTATGAAGCTAAGCGGAATGAATTCTTGGGGGAATTGCAAAAGAAAGAAGAAGAAATGAGACAAATGTTCGTTATGCGAGTGAAAGAGAAAGAGGCTGAACTTAAAGAAGCAGAGAAAGAGGTAAGCAGTCTGTCCTCTTTTAAGGGACAAAAACTTAAAGAGATTATTTTATGAATGCTTTGCATTTTATAGCATCTCATGCTGGTCCAACAACTTTCTACATGCAGTTTATCACAAGCAGCACAGTAAGCTGGCAAGAAAAGCAGGCAGATACTCTTCTCCCCATTTGAAAGAAGACAGACTATAAAGGCTGAATCGTTTTTACAGTCACATACCTAGTTAGTAGCTAAGACTAAAACTATAAGCTTTCTAGAATGGATCAGATAGTCTTTGCAGTGCTCTGTTGCCTCAGTTTATGAGTCTTGAAATGTGAGGTTCAGGATTCTGGGACCGTTATCTTCATCTGTCGCCAACTCTGTGGGCCAAGCAGCACTGTCAGCGGGCAACAAGTCAGAGCGAAGTCTGGGCCCAGGCGTCACCCCTGCAGCATGCACCCCTGTTCCAGTGTCCCTCTAAACCTCCCTCAGTCCCTTTGCCGGGTCAGATTCACTGCTTCCTCAAAGGTTATGTGAATGTCACCCCAGTAACCCTCGTCCATTGTGGAGAGAGAGAGAGAGAGAGAGAGAGAGAGAGAGAGAGAGAATGCGATAAGCCTGTTTCTGCCAGTTAGTAATGAGTGTTTTTCATACCTGACTTTTAGCTCACTGCTTTTGTAAATAACAAGTAAGTAATTTTCTCATTATATTTTTTTAAAAGGCTGTTGAAACTTAAAGGATATTTGAATAGCTAAATACTCAAGATGGTTTTACTACAGAGAAAAGAAAATCGAGCTTTCTTGCCTGTTGCCTTTAAAAACCAAGTGGATAATGATTTAGAATTATAAGTAAACGTTTTTCCTTTCCTCCGTGGATTTTTTTTTACTTACAAGAATCTAGATTTTATCGATACATATATGTATATCTATCTACATTGTAAAGTTTCAGAACTAGTGGAAAACTTAAAAGCCTATATAACACATATGCATTAACTTTGAATAATAAAATTATGACCGATAATGACTATAGTCCTTTTCATAAATTGCTTATCTCTTATACCAGCAGATTCTGCTTAAAGAGAAATTTCCCATAAAACTGTAACTACTTATTTTGAAACACATCAAAGCTTATAGTGGCAATTATTGTGAATCAGAGCCACTAACATAACCAAATTTTCTCTGAGCTCTGAAGTTCTCACACCCAGTTTTCTTAAACCCTGGAGTTGGGTCCCACCATAAGAACCCGAGAAGATGATGAGGAGCCTTGTGGGCTGGAGTAGTGTGCATTCTTCATGCCGTGGATTTAGTTGTCTGTTGTCTTTCATCCTTTTCCCTGCTGGAATGGTCTGTGATTGTACATGACAGAGCCTGTACAAGTAGCCACAGTGCATACACCTCTCTTCAGTGTGAAAGTATAGCCAACAAACCACAGTCAGAGAAAAATAAGGAGTTCTTTTGACAGCATATTTGTGTTTCTAATGTATCTCCTGGAGACGAAAAGCCATTGATTAGTTCCTATAGGACACACAGTATGTGGTCTCAAGCATGGGAGAATGTTTTGTAACCCACTCTGCTGGATCGAATCACATACACACCAGCCTCTCAACTGTCCTGCGGGACCCACCAAACTCTGGGGCTCAGTTGGGGCAGGCACAGTCACCTTCCTGAGGTGTGTTAAGTGCTTCTCTCCTTGTTTTTGATTTTGATTGTGATTTTTTTTCCCCCATGCTGGGGATCAAACCATGGCCTCTCCTGCACACTGGGCAGAAGTATTCTACTACTGAGTAATATCCCCAGCCCATGCTTATGATCTACTTAAATTCAATCTGTTAAAGACCATACGTGTCTCAATACAGCTTTATAAGTTTAATAATATGTATGTGAATGTAGATATTTGTATGTGTCTATAAGTAAATATAGTTATGCATGTTGAAAAAGGACCAGAAATACAGAACCACTTTTACCATGAGGTTGAATTTTTTGTTAGGATTGTGGATAATTTTTATCTTCTCCATGGTCTTTTAAAGTGAATATAAATTATTACTGGAAAGACTGTTCAAGGAATTTTTAGTTCTTTTTTTTTTTTTTTTTTGTCTTTATCGGTACCAGGAATTGAACTCATGACTGCCTGCTTGCAAGGCAGGCGCTTATGCCACTGAGCTAAATCCCCAACCCCGGAAATTTTAGTTCTAAGGAACTCAGTTGACAGGCCATGGACAGGTGAATACTTCTTGACAGTGTAGCCTTGTCCCTGCAGTGATCCAGCAAGATGATGCTTTACTCTGGAAATGGAAGCAAATGCAGCCACATAATGCGCGTTTTGTTTCTTAACTGCCAGGCTTCTCAACATTCTCTGGGGTTCTTATGATGGGACCCAACTTCAAGGTTTGCAAGAAAACTGGGTGTGGGAACTTCAGAGCTCAGATTAGGTAAAAACTTGATTATGTTAGTGGCTTTCATTCACAATAATTGCCATTATAAGCTGTGATGTATCTCAAAATAAGCAGTTATAGTTTTATGGGAAATTTCTCTTTTAAGTAGAACCTGCTGTTATAAGAAACACTGCTCTCTATCAGTAAGATTTTTATGCTCTCAACAAGCCTGTCTTTGTCTTCTTCTTGCAGCTTCATGAGAAGTTTGATCTCCTAAAGCGGACACACCAAGAAGAGAAAAAGAAAGTAGAAGACAAGAAGAAGGAGCTTGAGGAGGAGGTAAACAACTTCCAGAAGAAGAAAGCGGCAGCTCAGCTACTACAGTCCCAGGCCCAGCAGGCTGGGGCCCAGCAAACCAAGAAAGACAAGGATAAGAAAAAGTAAGCAGGTGTCTCCCTCTTTATTGAGGAGCTCTAACAGTATATTCTCCTTGCATGTCTGGTTTCCTATTTACAGACTGGACACTGGTCTATTACCAGAAATATAAAAGCAAGTATTTTTCTCTACAGTGCAGGGAAGATGATAAAGGTTTTTAAAGTATTTTTAAAGGGTACACAAAGATTAATTTATAGAACTTGACCACATTGATCAAGCAATCAGGACTGGAGTAATGTGTCATCTCCTGTAGCGTCTTCCACTCCAGCACTGTAGGATTCCTCAGAGAAGACAGGTTTCTTTCTCTTCAGTACCTCGAAACATAATTCTCGTGACTCTTGGTAGAGAGCGTCTAGGTGCACAATGTTAAATTTATTTTTCTCCTCTATGTTGTCAAGTGTGGCGAGCCAGGTACTGAGTCTTGTTCCCAGCCTGAAGCATTTATAAGGGATGCTAGTGGTCGCTGGTTCTCTTCTCAGTTCAACAAGATGTTGAACTGTCTTATTGTAAAATGCAACCAAAGTGCCCATCTAGTTAACTTAGTTCTGCCACCCTTCAAGCCACACCAGTGCCCACGTAGAGCATTTTAAAAGACATCCTTGGTGTCATGTTTAAGGGATCAGGGTCTGCTCTTGAGGGAGTCACCTCTCAGGATACTCGAGTACAGCTATTTGAACCAGAGGAAGTGTGAACTTCCTTGAAATTCTTCTGGGATTTGAAGCTTTCCTTCAGATGACCCTAAGAACTAGAGTGTGCAGTTTTACGGCAGCAGCTGTTGGTTTGACAGTAAAGATGGTGATAAAAGACCTTTGAAGCAGACATCACGAGGTCCAGGAACAAACCCTCAAATGCCACTCTCATTTGTCTGCTTAACTCCCAGCTTGTTTCAGGACTCTTGCTCTTCACCCTTAGATACCAAGATTCCAGGGAGAGTAATAAAAAATGTTGGTGTTCAAGCAGTTAAGGAATCACATTCTTTAAAAACATAGCACCTAGGCTTGAGCCCCCGCCTGTCAGGAAGAAGTGTGTGGGCACTGCTCTGTCCACTTAGTCCTGTTCATGCGCAGGAGACTCATCTGTAAGGAATCCGTGATATAGCAAAGGAATACAGGCTCTGATGTACAGGCTATGACACCCAGAAATTAAACCATGCTGCACACACTGACTCCAGGCTCTGAGGCAGTGGGGAAGAAGGCAGGAGAGTAGCCAGCTTCTCAGAGTAAAACAGTAGTTGGTGTAGAGGTGGTGTGATTTTAATTTGGGCTGGTTCAAGCCCAAGTGACTCAAGGAGTCCAAGGGCCCAGGCTTGGATATTCTGCATTAATTCGGAGAGAAACAGTTGCCTAGCTGATGTCAGGTGCAAGAAAATGCTTCACAGCTCTTCATGTTGGAAGAGCGTCTGGCTCTTACGGGGTTCTCAGTGCACAGGTCCTGATTCCAGGGACTCCCAGGGAGACAAGTGAAAGCCATTTAGCATCACACCTTCAATCCAGACTAGTCCAAGAGAAGAACAAGTAGTGGTGTGTGTGGGGGTGTGAGTGTGTGGGTGGTGTGTATATACATATGACTGTTGCATGAATGAAAGAATAAAAGCTGTCAACTCACAGCTTAGGAAACCTGAAGTCTAGGTTTTCTTTCTTGTGCTTAAAAGTACAAGTTTTAAGGCTAAAAAGGTTTATAGAGGACCAGCAATGTTAAGAGTATTTTATGAATGCTGGATGTGCCTTTACACAATAAAAATATCAAGAGCTGATCAGTATTGTGCCTCTTTAAAAAAATCTAGGAAGAAACTTCCTGCGTAGGGAGGTTTTTCCTTGCCCTTGTGAATGTGTTCAGTTACATTCTTCCTAATGTACATACAATGCTTTGAAAGTTTATGTGAATTCAGTGTAAATTCTATTTTAGCCTTATTTATATATTCTCATTATTAATAGCATTAGATGTGGTCATAATAGTCAACCAGGGTCTGCGCCTGACAGTGACACACATTCCTTGTGCCACTTTTTAAAGCTTCTTAGCCTTTTCCACACTTTTTAGTGAAAGTGTTGGCTATGGGAGGCTTAAAGTATAAAAGAAAAAAAAATCACCCTTATTGCCAGTGGCAGGGAAAGGTTTTGGTTAGAGAGGATAACACAAAGATAGGAACCAGGGTAACCAGAGCAGCACCTGGACTGAAACTCATAGGTGTGAGGATAACCACAGAGGCCTCTGGGGAGCTGGCTTTGTTCAAGGCAAAGTTTACAGGGAAGCTTATTTATTCACCTGCTGTGCTTCCACCTTAGTGGCTTAGTTTTTCTAATAGTTTTAAATTCTCTTTTTTCCATTTTAATGATGTGCTTCTTTTTTTTTTTTTTTTAACATAGATAAGGCTTTATATTTCTCCTTAACCTGTAGTAGCATGAGAATCTGTAACATTTCCTAAGATTCTAGACAAGGTAGAACTAACCCTGGCACTGCCATTAGCTGGACTCCATCCCTGCCATCTCTGGCCACCAAGTCCCTTTGCTTGCTGTGGCTGCACCACAGTGCTGGACAGCCCAAGCTAATGTTGTCCACTGGACAGTGCTCATCTGTTCTGAAAACAGTTTGCCCAATTGCCAGTAGGCTTTCCTGGTTAACATGCCTCTGCCCTAAAAGAAAGCTTTCAAATTTATTGTTTAAAGCTGGCTATGGTGGCAAACACTTGTAATCCCAGCATTTGGGAGCCTGAAGTAGGAAGATCACCTCGAGTTCAAGGCCAGTCTGAATTACAGAGCAAGACCTGGTCTTGAAAAACAAAACAAAACAAAACAAAACCCATAAAACTGGTGTGTAAAAACTAAAGTTTACATAACCATCTCCTCATCTGTTTTTCTAGTTAAAATTTTTGCTAAGGAATAACATTGCATGTTTTGAGTTTGACTAAAATTAGATATATGGGTCTTGGGTTTGGCCTTGATTGCTTTGTAGCTTAAAGAGGGGGAAAGCTCCTGGCATTGCCATGCTATCCTATGTAACAATTGCTCTTTTTTTGTCCTTCCCAGCTAGATTAGTAGTATGTCCTCCATTTATCCCCAAGCTGTTCTACACCTCTTCAAGTCGTTTATTCGAAGGTATTTATGGTATATTTATTCTCTGACTCCTTCAGCTGTTCAAAAATGGAAGATGATGCTCCTAGTCAGTATTCATGTGATACCCATACCTAAGAGAAAATGGTTTTGTGTTACTTGAGAAAACAAAAATCAAACAGTAATTCCTTCTGTGGGAATATACAGTGGTTTCAAGAAGTCACTTGTGAATTCTAAGTTTCATGCAAATGGAAACTAACCATGTGTTCCGTAATTAAATATTAAATTTGCTTTTGCTTGTCATGTGGAATAGCTCAAGTTTTGATTTCAATTTCTGTCAATTCCATAATCATTGCATGAGCATTCACCATCACTGAATGCTGGTGCTGGCGCTCCTTTCTTTTTAATTTATTATTATTTCTAACTTTTTTGTTTTGTTTTTTAACTTGCAGTGCAAGCTTCACATAAAGCCTGGCAAGCCAAGGATGTTCCCGCATTCACCTGCTTTTGCAGTAATAGTGTACCTCTGCCATCTGTGTCCTTTGGTTTTATTTTGTTGTTTACCCTTCCCCAAACACCAGTAACTCTTAACTTGTTTTGCTGAATGTTGTTGGGTGGTGGAAAATGATAGTACAAGGGAATGACAGCCAAAGCTCTGTGCAGCTGGACTTTTTTCTGGAAAGTAAATGATTGCCTTTAATGCCTGTTCCCATTGGCAGCAGAAAGCATGCCTGTTACTTGTATGTCGCTTTGGATGGAGGAAAGTGGGGTAAAATGCTGCCTGTTCATCTGATGTGAAAACTTCTCACCGCCTCAGCAGCTGAACTAAAACCCTCAGTAGCCCTGAGAACAAGTTGCATTTCTTGATTATTAATCCCCATGATTGCAGTCGCTGGACTCCGAATCTCTCCTCTACACCAACTCCAAAGTAAGGTAGATTTGTAGGTAGGCAGGACACTGGTAGCACTGTTGATGACTTTTACTCATGCATGGATTTTTCATTTTACATTAACATTCTTTGCCCTAGCTTGTGCTCTGTTCACTTGGGTTGAGACTCATCTGAAGACCCACCTCTCAGAGCCTGGCTACATGCTGTGACTGATCATGTTTACCAGTGTAACTTTAATCCACTCACAGATTCAGATCTCGTTTCTTAGTAGAATACTCTTCCACCAAGGATAGTGGGCACCCCACAGCCTGCCTACTGCTTGCAGTAAGAAATCTTTCATAAACACATCTATATTTGCTCTCAGTGGGCTGAGGGGAACGACCTTACAATTGATTACAGGCTGTGGTCACCTTTAATACAGTTTTTCACTAATCATGAGAAAATTGCCACAAAGACTTCAAATAGAAAATTTGCTATAAACCATGTGTCATCAGTGGCAAATTTGAGAAGATCTTGTCAAATTTAAGGTCCAACATATGAGAAAGAACATGGGATGGCTCAAGAAAGTCAAAATTTCAGCTTCACTTCCAGCTTTCTTGATGGTATTTGGAATCTGGTTGTCTCAAAGGGATTTTCCTCTCTTGGCCCCTCATCATGGGTAGTTCCACTTGTTCTCTGTGTTCTAGAGCCATCACCTCACTCAAGAGTAGGCCTGACTCAGTGCCAGGACGTACACTTCCTGCCTGGTTGGTATCGAGAGGGGCGTGGTTAAATCTCTCTTCCATGCTCCCTCTTCCTGATGCTTGATCCTGCTGCAACTAGATCCTTCGCTTCCTCTCTAGAGCACCTCCTGTTGTACTTGAGAGGATAACATTCTCACGAACCCAGTATTTTACCTCTTCCTTTTCAGTCTGACTTTCACTAGTTACAAGTAAACAGATGAGGATACACTGCACCTCCCCTCTCCCAATATATACTTTTAAAAAGTTAGGTTTTTTTTTTCCTTCCCTTTGCTCCCAGACATAGGGAGGAGAAAGAAGGAATGGTCATCCATAATGTAGACGTCATTAGGCAAAGTAAGAAAATGGTTCACTCAAATGGAGACAAACTGGGGTAGAGACTGCAAACTAGACGTGGCAGCACTGTGGTCCTCACAGGTTGAGGACCTGTTGGATCAGTGTTTTTGTCTTCGCTTTTGTTTTTGTAAGACCTCCCAGCTGTAGAGCAGTCAAGTGCTAGCTGGCCTGCTGACTCTAACCCTGGGCTGATTGGCTTCTATGCTGGGCACCTCACAAAAGCTTGAATACTTGTGTTGTATGCTTGTTCCAGTCATTGCTTGTGTGAGCATTTTTTGTGCCTTGTAATAGAAAATACACTTTTAAATTCTATGTCTTGCATTTCTAAAAGCTTTTAAAATTGAGCCTAGCAACAAAAAGCATCCAGCTGACTTTTTGACTCCAAGATTACTTATTGATTTTTTTGCATTAAATTTTTCATGGCAAAATAAATTTTATGGAGAGTCAGGGAATAAAAAGTCAAAAGAAATATAGAAGCTTTTTTTTTTTTTTTTAATATGTTGCTTCTAAACTTTTCTCTACCCCTGCTCCCTAGCCCGTTAGTTTGTTATTGCTGCTTTTTCTTTCTGTATCTATGCCTTTTTTCACAGTAGTCCTTGGCTCTGCACGGAATAAATGATACCCTCAAATCTAATTGGATGTGCTTTCGCCTTTGCATGTAAGTACAGTAGTAAGAAATCTTTGGGATCTTTCTGACTTTCTAAAATCAAATGGGATGGAAACTTTTTTTTTGAGGGATATTTAGGGAGAATAGTGTCTAGCTTTTAAATAAAAGCTAAATCTGTCTAAAGTGATCACATTTATATATTTTTCACAATTTTTTTTCCCACTTCTTAATCTCATTGTGCAGTCAGAAATGACTAATCCAGCCTGTGTTCTGCACAGTGCTATGGGCGTCCTTAGCTATGACAGAGGGTCCTGGATTCTGACTATGTAATGAGGCTAGAATGAGAAGCGACCATCTTCTATTGGAGAAAACCAAGAAGACACTTGCGCTAGGCTGTTTTTGTGATCACTACATTTTGGATCTCAGTTAATGGCCTCTCCCTGGTGCTGTGACAATGGTCACTTTTTTTTTGGCCAGATGGCTCTGGCTAGCCTCTGTTCAAGCATAATGACTATTTTTCTGCTTCTTCTGAACTGTAGAAACTTATAACAGTGGCATAGACTGTGACCGAGAAGCATTTATGAGAATTTATTGGCAGTTCAGGGGGTTATTTTTGCAGCTTAAACTGTGTAGCAGTTAGTCCAGGTTTTCTCCAAAAGGACATCTCAACCTGGGGAATTTTTCATGTAATGCTGGGCACAGGCTTCTGAAAATCCTTCTCTACTTTGTGATTCACCAGCAGCAACACATTCTCTGTTTCTTATGCACCCCACTGGAACAGACATGGTTTCCTGTTCGTGACATAGCCTTCTGTGTTTGACATACAGTGTCCAGTCAGGCGTTTCAGCTCTCTCTGAACCATATCCTGCTCTTTCTGTGTGTTCCCACCAGAACTGTCCACTCCAGTCCCTTGGTTTTACTATTGTCAGATCTCAGCTTTCAAAAGCCCTGGCTCTGGTGGCAGGACACATACACAATAACTCTTTAGTGGGATTATCACCTACAAGATCTAGTTTGTATGTAGGTATGAAGGGGATTTTTAAAAAAAATAAATTGAAAAGTAAGCTGTGAACAGCTTTAGAACTTTTGTCTATTTCTTAATTTTAAAATATGCTGATATGCCTTAAACTGTAGTTCTAGATCCTTGTCATTTTGCTGTTTGGAAATAACTGGTGTTTCCTAAAACTGTTATGTAATCTACTTTCAGTGTTAATACAGAATTGTCATATATGTAAGCTGCATGTTAGATGCTTGTCTTTTTTTAAGAACTAAAATGATTGTGTTGATGTGAAGCGTATTATTTCTTCAAGTATGCAAGTAGTCACTCAGCAGCCTGCTGGGTGATGTGGTATCTGTTAGGGTAGCAGTGGTGAACAGGTAATCTATGCATACATATCACTAGTGCCAAGATAAAAAGCGGGGAAATATATTTTTACCCAAATGTCATATTGTGTGCCCTTTTGTGAGTTCTTTTTGGTCACTGCTTGATACACTATTTGTACAGACACATGCTTACCCCATAGGGAATGGATGAGGGATGGCAGTTTTTCCTGTTTTTTCACCTATTATCATGGACTTCGGATGCTTCCACTTCTCCAAAGACATGCGCTGTGGTGTCCTGTCTCTCCCACACTGCCTGTGCCACCCTTGCCTGCCCGCCCCAGACCTTGGTGCAGGGAAAGGAGTCATTCTCTAGGGAAGGACCCCCCTCCTCTGCCTCGGGGCCCATCAGCACTGTGCCTCCTGCCTCTCTTGGTCACGCCGTCCCTTTAACTGACACACTACTGTTCTTCCACAGCTTGTTATAGAGAAGCACTTTTTTTTAAGCTTTAAGAAGCAAATTTGAATCTGAACCTTTCTTTTTTCTCTCTGTAGCTTCTTCTTTATGTAACCATCCCGTTGACAAGCCCTACTCTCTCCTAATGGACATAGAGCATTAGAAGAGCAGGAGCTGTCTGTCACACGTGTTGGGGAAGAGTTACCTCATTTCCACCATCGCCTCCTGTTCTTTTAAAGTCTGGGTCAAATAATGCACTGCTGTTTGTATTTGTCAATGTCCGTTTACAAACCACCAGCTGTGGTGGCTACTGAAGTGACTCCACTACCAAAACATAATAGTAATTAAAAGGAAATTGGGTGAAACAGGGAACTTGGGCCCAAACCCAAGATTTTATGCTGGAATCCTCTTGCTTAGCTGTCATGTCATTGAAGCTGCTGATCCAAGAACTTGTGGACTGAAGAGAGCATGTATCCCTAGCTTGAGGTGACCACCACCTCTGGGACAGATGGATCTGTGGTAACTAGTGTCCTGTCCCATGAACACTGCTCTGAACAGCCTGGGTGGGCTCAGTACCATCAGGTCATGAGATACGGGCAACATTTTTCTTCCTTCTGTTTTGAGGGTTGTTTTGGTGTTTGGGATTTTTTTTTTCCTTAACATTCGCTATTGCATGCACAGAGATGGATGCAAATTTTTCTTTGGAGTGTCCTATTGATACAGTGTCTTTATTTTTCAGCTGACCATCTGCCTCTTGAGAGAGAGAAGTGGGCATCCTTTAAGTTCGGGAACCATTGTGGTTTTATTTGACTGTGTTACCTGCATCCCTTATATAAGTTGTTTTGGAATCAGGATTCTGCTTTTTGTATGGTTATTCAAACTTTTAGTACCAAAATTATGATAATTTTAAGCTCACTTCGAGGGGAACGTAACTGAAGTTGAAGTCACAAAACTGTTTTAATACGCTCTCCTCACCTTAGATACAACAAAAGGAATCTCCCTTTTTGTTACTAGGATTTTGATCTACAAGTCTTAATCATGTTTAAAATATGCTAGTGTTGGGTAGATGATTTTTTTCTGCCTCTGGGGCTCAATTTATATTTAAAGATACCTTAAAATAACTTTCTGGCCCATCCCTGTCTTTATTTATCATTAAGCTCTGCTTTACCTTGCGTCCATGGTTTTTTACTGGGACCCACGAGGCCTTAACCATGAGAAAAGAACCTCATGCAAGCACATAACATCTCCCAGATCAGCATCGTTAACAATGTGTCCAATTCATTGTCTTCTCAAAGTGGCTAAGGTGGCTTTATGCACATTACCTGCAAAAACCTGCTGGAATTAAAGCATTCAGGGATCACTTAAAATACACCACATCCATATATACTTATGCCAGTTGAGTTTGTGATTCCCAGTGCTGACCTGCTCATTATGAGTCAGATTCAAGGCTAGGTTACTATAAGTAACAGCCAACTCTTGAGTAGTTTTTATAGTCAAGGGACAATTTTTAATCTGTTGTATAATCACGTATTTTATGTCATCTTCCAAATTCATCTGGGGCAAACACCTTCATTTTTCACCTACGTAGTGTGTAGATCATAAAAATATTATTCATGGCATGAGTTGGATTTGGTCAAGAGCCTTAGGAACGGGCAAAAAAGGCAACCCCTGCTGGTGTAGGGTAGTGAGATGAAGCAGAATCCCTGCTGCTTTGATTGCGGGAAAGAGCTTCCTTAGGACAGTTTGATAAGCATGCTGCCAACAGCTTTTTTACTTAGAAATATTAATAAATGTAAGTAAAGCCACTGTCATCTGTGCCATTGAGTGATCAAAACATGAATGAAGAGCCATTTTCTTCATACCACACCACTGAAGTCCTGTGATATGAGCAGTCAGGAGGGAAGTACACTCTGATGCTAGACTGTGTTACTGTCTCCTAATTTGAACATGTAGGTTTATTGAAACCACTGTAGTCACTACTTATAGTTTACTCAGATTCATTTTTAGTATTTTAATATCAACATTATCCTATCACTCATTTTAAAAACAATTTTACCCACCTTGAGACAGGGTCTTGCTCTCTTGTCCAGGACAGCCTTGAACTTGTTTTGTAGCTCAGGCTGGCCTCTTGTCTCTCAAATGCTGGGGGATTTTGTTTAAAAATGAAAAGATAGTGTATTGGTCACCTTCTCATTGCTGGGACAAGCTAGCATAAACAACTAAAAGGGGGAAAAGTCTATTTGGCTCCTGCTTTCACAAGTTTGAGCCCATGGTCAGGTGGCTCCATGGCAAATATCATGGCAGAAGGGTTTGGCAAAGGAAGGCTGGTCACCTGGGGCAACCAGGTAGCAGAAAGGGAAAGAACTAGTGTGAGAAGGTCCTAGGAACAACATTCTCTCTCTGCACCCCCAGGGCCGGCTTCCGCTGGCTGGGTCACCTCCCGCCTCGCAAGAGCCCACTGAGCTTTGAGCTCCTCTGTGGGTTGTCCTGCTGATGAGGCCAGTGCCCTCACGATCCAGTCACCTTCCAGTGTCCGCATCAGTGAACCTGAGGCTTTTGGGTTTCAGTCTAAGCTGGAATGGAGTTCTTTTTCTCAGTAGAGAAATGTGTTCTGACATTCCAGTTTTTCAATAACGGTCTCCAATAAGAGAAAAGGTAAGAGTGAACACTTCATTGGAACAGCCTGTTAGGGCAAGTTGACCTTTCTTCGGTGGCCTGAGGGAAACTGGTCTTGGATACCACTGGCCAGGTGCCTGACTCTCCATTGTCACGGACTCACTGTTTTACTGTGGGTGATTTCTTTTCTTGTAACAGAACTGGAGGGTTCTCAAGTTCTCCTGGCTGACAAGAAGTGAAACCATTACTGGCTTATCTCCAGTTAGACTAGAAAAGGATAATTGGGTCATTGGAATTTTTCCACTGGTAACAAGGACTGTGTGTGTGTTAGTAGGGAATGAACTTTGCTCTGCAGGGCCTTTGCACTGAGCTAAAAACTACATCTGCAGCCCTTTATCTTTCGGGAATTTTGAGACAGGGTCTTAAGTTGCTTAATTGCCAAGGCTGGGCTTGAATTTGCTTATCTTCCTACCCTGGCCTCCCTGTATGCTAGGATTATAGTTGTCCTCCGCCATATGTAACTGATGGTAACCTTTGTATTTTTCATTCAGTTTAAAAATATGACTTGATTTCTGATACAGATTCTGCCTTCATGTACTAGAATAGTTTCGGACCCTGAGATTAGTACACTATCGAAGGAAAGATGAGACCTGGTCAGTGTGTACTGAGCTAGGGGAAATGAAAGTCATCCATATATGCCTGACATCAACGTTTCTCCAGCAAATACTTATCCGTGATACAGTTTTTTGTCTACAAGTGGCACAGACTATCAGTAAACAATTTTTAAACAGTTAACAAATTCATAATTTTCCCTGTATTAGATGATCTTTCTACAGAAAACCTTTGTGCTGCATCGGACTCAATTCTCCACCCTGGAGACTGACAATGAGGGTGCTTGGGCTCACTTAGAAGATGCTTGTGCTTGAATTCTTGGAACCATGTATCTAGTCCTGTGGTCTCAGCCTCTGGCTTACAGATCCATCTCTAGCAAGCAGCTGGCACACCTTGGGTTGGTGAGATGATTAAATGTTTCATTTGAGGAGAGTTAATTGAGCCTGGATAGCACTCACTTCCCTTTCCAGCCTTGCTATTCTGACTAGTAGCAATGTGCCTAGTACACACCTGTGATCCCAGCACTTGGGAACCTGAAGCAGGAGGATCACCACAAAATTGAGGCCAGCTTAGGCTGTGTGGTGAGAACCTGTCTCAAAAGAGTCCCTCACCATATATATACATGATACAAATGACATCACATGTGCCTTATTTGCAGTACAATGGATGGGTGGCCTTCCAGTCCACTATAGAAACTTCCTTTCTGAATTAAAGCACCTAGATCAGGAGAAGCAGGTTATTTCACAGAGGTCCTCCTGACATGCACATCAAACACATACACACAACAGTAGGGGTGAGTAACAGTCCCCAAAGATTTGATTTAAGCTATGCACTCCACAGTGCTTCTTGAGCTGAAGAGTTGCAGGCTTAGTTCACCTTGCTGTTTATGTCTGACCACCCTTCTCCATCCCCACCTTTCCAAATACTTGATTCTAGATGGTGCCCCAGCCCTACATGAGGTGTTGGGATGCAGCATTACTAATTGCACTTGGCCGTTTGTATAATTGCTGAGCACAGGAGATTTGTGGAGTAAGGGAAAAAGATAAGCCCTTGTCTGCAGAAGACAGATGATACCCTGCAAAGCAGAAGGGTCCCACTTGGCATTTTCACGGCTGCCTGCCATGAGTCTGGAGTGCCTTATGCCCAACAAAATCAGTTGTTTCAGGAGATAGACAAGTTTACTGTGGGTGGAGCTATGAAGACACTTTCCTACTGTCTTGTAGAACAGTAAGGTCAAGTCATGTTTAATCTGTTGTGAAAGCCATGCTTTAAAAGTCAAGATAAAAGAGTTGGTGTTGCATTCTTAACCTAGAAGCCCAGAAACTAAGAAACTTTAGAGTTGTGAGCTCATATTTGTATCTCTGATATTGTTGGTTACCTCTGATTGTGCATTTTCAGTGGTGAATACCAGGGAGAGTTATGTGTTTATTCTAGACCAAGATGATACACATTAGTGTATCATAAAACCACACACCTGCAGGCTAGGAAGAGAGCTCTAAGTTGAATTCTGTGATGGAAATGGTCCTTAGTATTTTGTCCTAATGACTGATTAGTTGAAATTCAAAGCATCAACATTGGAGGGTTTTTATTTTCATGTTTTCTAAATTGTATTCTTAGGCTACTCTGCAGGGCTACACATAACTTGCTAATTAGGATGCTTAATTTTGGTGGTTTTCTCCACCCAACACTCCAGCCTGAGGATTATCCAACCTCCTGCTCTTGTGGGGCTGATACTGTGAAGTTCTCTCAGTGTCACATGCAGAGGCCACTTTGTCCTAAGTGATGTGAATGTGGAATTACAAAAGATGTTAATGCACCAAGGCTTAGATGAGGTGCGTTCGATGATTTTTTTCTTCTCCAGAAATGTTAAAAGATGCTTTATTCTTTTTTTGGAAGCACCACCTAGTGGCCAAAGCTGGGTATTACTTAATAGGTATAAGATACATTCTTTTATTAACAAAAAGGCTGATTTCGTCAACTGGAGGTTTTAGAAATAACATCTGTGTACTAAACAGAACCTCATTTCTGGCAAAAAGGGGTTTTAGATGAGTTAGAAGTTGAACCTTGTTCAAAATTGTATAGTTATATTGGCACTGGGCAGCTCTTAATCCTCAATTTTCTTTTTCGGTACCAGGGATCGAACTCACCACTGCACACTTGCAAGGCAGCACTTACGTCACTGAGCTAAATCCCTGGCCCTAACCCTCAGTTTTCTGATGTAAACTCAGAAAGCTCCAGGATCATTTGTTGTAGAAACATTGGGCCCAGTGCCTTCCTTTTCCAGTTGGAAGTGTAGACCGCTATAATGATGAGCGGTCTCCATCGTGCTGGCTGAGCATCAACAGCTTTTCTCTTCCTGTGAAGGGCCACATGCTGCTTCAGGTGGTAGTGGTCAAGTGCAACTTTCAGGAGACTCCAGAGTGAGTAATGCCATCCCAGATATCTTGGGTATGGAGAACACATGAGTGGCTGCAAACACCCATGTCTTAATTCCCTCCTAGTGGGAACCAGTCGGCTGAGTAAAGAGCTACTGGCTGCTTCCTCAGAACTAAAGGTAGTGTGGGAACATCGACGAATGGATTGTATCTCACCTTTCATTGTGTTTGAGAACCCTGGCTCCCAGCCTCCCTTCACCATTGTACACTGACAGTCCTTTTAAGAGGACACAGACTGACTTACAGAGACTAGAATAAACTGCACCTTGTAGTTTGTTACTGGGGGATCAGAGAGCTAGTGTGGCCATCAAGTTATTCTCTTCTGTCCTGAGGCTTTACAGAATGGTAGGTATTTTAACCACCAGGGGGGTAGCAGATACACTTTTCCCTCTACTGGAAATTGAAACCAGGGTCTTTGCGTTTTATATCTCCGGTCCTTTTTAAGGCAGGGTCTCACCAAGTCCCTAAATTGACTATGACAGGTTTGAATTTAATCCTCTTGCCTCAGGATTCCAGAGGGTTAGGATTATAGATGTGTGGCACAGTGCTAGCCACCAATTAGGATTCATAAATCTCAAGGGTCTTAACTCGTCTGTGATGTGAGACCAAAATTTAACCCAAGTAATTTGGGAATAAGTTTTTCAGGCAAAATAGGGAATGAGAATATTCCTGAAAACAGCTTGGCATTTGCTATTTTTTTCAAGTCATGAGAAATGGGACTGAGGTCTTTAGAATGTGGCAGGGAAGTTCCAACTGGAAGGTATCTAGGAGGGTCAGGTCTCAAGTACTACTGCTCACCTGAAAAGCTGTGAGACAGCAGCCCAACTATCCTCTTGATTCAGTGTCCCCAAACTGACATTTTTGAGACTGGTCTCACTGTAGCCCAAGGTGGCCGCATACTCCTGGAGCACAAGCTAGCCTCTTGCCTCCTGAGTAACTGACACTACAGGTGCACACCACTGCTCCCACTTACCATCTACCTTTAATATTAGAAACACTTCAGGTTGCTATTGGACTTCGATATTCTGACCTGAGGCTTAACCTCATCATTTTTCTACATTAAAACATGTTTTCATAGTTTGTGCCTTTTTTTTGATGTACTATAAATAAGTCCACCCCCCAAAAATTTGTACTTCAGGAAGAGAAAAACGTATATTTTAATACTAAGTTTGAATCATTGCAACGTTAGTACAAGTTACCTTGCCCTGTACAATTATAAGAGGTGCTCAAAGTGGCAGCCATCAGCTTCCAGACATTTATTAGTATAGCAAACTGCTGCTCAGGTAACCTGGTCACTGAGATTGCTGCACTGCATTTTTCAGTTTGTCCTCTAAGGGCCAGCAGTGTAGTGGATTTTCTGATATATGACATCCTCTAGGATTCCCCATGCAAGAGTAACACCATCTGTTGAAAGAACATCATACTAATTTTCTTTTTCTTAAGTGTGTATATGTATTTTGGGCAGACTCTGTATTTAAGTTTCTTGGGGATCCTCACAGTTTAGAACTGAGTAACAGAAATACAAAAATCGGGACTTTTCTTTTTCCAGAGTGTTTCACTATGCAGTGCAGGCTAGCCTCGAACTCAATCTTTCTGCCTCAGCTTTCCCTGAGTGCTGGGATTACAGGTGTGTACCACCACATATAGCTCTAGGATATGGGTTTTTAAATATGCAGCTGTGGGAAAAAATACACAACTGTAAAGCCAATTAATCCCTTGCTGTCTTCACATGTACAGTTCATTCTTCCTACCTTCCCTCCCATTCCCTATATGAACATGTGAGTAAATGCTTCCTCTTCAGTTGGAATAAGGTAAGATCACAAAATAGTCAAGTAATAGTGAAGTGTTCCAGAATTTCCGAAAGTCAGATGTAGACTGAGAATACTCTTGCTGTGCTACACTTGAACAGATCAGTGGGCTAAAAATGACATAGTAACTACAAACAGTTCCACTAAGATGAGTACTTACTGTGTGGATCACCAACCACCATTCCACTCCCTACAGTGAGAAAATACTCTGGAATTTTTATGCCTAAATCTATAACCTTCAGTCACACACCAATGTCCCTCTGACATTTTCTTTTCAGTACATCTATTCTTGGGTTATTATCTTCCTTAGTTGAAATAAAAGTTTCTAGTAATCAGGAAACAATGCCTTTTCAGAGGCAGAAGAAAAGTTACAGACACAAAGGTCAAGGACAACTTTTTATTGCTACCAGAGGCTTTTGTCATCAGTACATGGTTCGGACCGCAGTACCTTCCTCAGACTGCAAAGGGAGCTCAGGGTCCAATTGTAAGAGAAGCACAGGTAGGTCGGGAGACAGGGAATGATTTTTATCAGAAAATCCTAACACCCTAACATAAACAAGGGTACTGAATTACGTTACAGACTCAAATCATAGAGCTGCCCCAACACTAAAGACAGTCTCCTACTGATTCATTTATAAACAGATTGGTTACAGAAATCTATGTTATGTTTCTTTGGTGAGCACCTGGATATATTAACTTTGTCACAAATTCTTTTACACAAATGTCAAAATGCTTTCGCCAAATCTAAATGTTCGTTACATGTCATTTTAAAATTTAAGATAAAGCCGCAATTTTGTTTTTAAACTCTAAAAACTAAAATGAGACAAACACAAAGTCAAGTGGTAATGTAAGAACTTTTTCTATTACCACCTCTTTCATCTGGACAATTACAAAGTACACTTTTCAGATAACTAGAATCTAAATCATGGGTAAAACATGGCTGTCATACTAATTTTGCTACCACAAAAAAGGGCAGGAAGTGGACTAATTCAATGGAAGGCAGAGAACATAGATCAATGTGCACAAAATTCATTAAGTATTCAATGGAAAAGCAAGTAAAAATAAATCAGGATGCTGGGGAAAAGGGGTGACAGCTGTGAATTTTGGAACTTTTATCTTTTTGACATGGGGCAAGCTACACTTAGCACAAAACAGAGCATAACTGATACACTATGAAGAAATTTACTTTTAAAAAATGTTCTGGTAAAGATTTTTGGCCTTAAACAATGCTAAATTATAATTAACTACAAAAGTGAATGGTTTTTTTTTTTTTTTGCTGGCTCACTTCAAATCAGCCTGATAAGGTAACCCTCTCCATGGCCTTTCCTAGTTTTACAGGTTGTTCCCAAAATAGTCAACCTTAGTTTGCATTCGAAGGTAACAGATGTTGCAATTACATGACAGATACAGGCTGCAAAGGTGGACAAGGGGAAGCATGTCCCTCTTGCCTTGATAAATCAGTACCACACACAGAACCCACATTTTCTGCAGCATTATCTTCATTATACAGCCGCTTGATTCCATCATAGAAGTCATCCACTTCCATTTCTTCCACTTTGCGTTTAGCAGAGGTGTGCTTGTACCCACTGGCAGCTGGGAGACGATGGCAGAAGGCTGCTGTACCTCTGACTGGCACTTCTGGCTTGCTGTTGTCCTTGGAGAAATCTGGGCCTGAGACAGAGGAGGGATGTAATCTGAACGCTCCTTTGTCACAGGTCACCAGGGTGTGCTTGAGGGGACGGTAGACATAAACGGAATTTAGAGGCAGGGAAGACTGCAGAGTAGAAAGGTGATGCGCCACAAGTTCCCGACAGTGGATCAATTGGGAGCTATCCATCTGGACCAGAGAAAAACAACACAGTTAATGACTGTGGCTCTGCCATCTCTGCTAACTACTTTTCCTTCAGTGTTCTCTCCCTCACACCTTCTACTTCAAACTAATTCCAGAAGCTTAAACATCACTTAAGTTATGCCCAAGTCTATATTTCTAATATAAATCATTATTTGCCATTGTATGATGGATATACACGGAACACAAACTGTTCACCACTACGGCCAAGTCTACTTTTCTCCCAGTTCACGCACCTCTTCACAAGGCCTCTCTCACCTACCTCTGCCTTTTTAAATTTCTTCAGTGGAGACCAAAGACAAACATAAAATTCATGAATCATTTAAAGAAGAAGCCAGACGCAAGGAAAAGAAATGTTAAATCAGAGATAGGGAAAGTTGCCTAGTTCAGAATTTGAAACAATGTATTTAAATGTATTTAAATAAATGAGAGCTTTAGGCTTTATAGTTTTGTGGCAAACAGAGCAATGCTAAGAAGAAATAACATTTTTCCTTAATCTGGGAGTTTTGCGCATTCCTCCTTATCCTTCAGCACAGCTTGTGTATAAATTCTTTCTGGAATCACATCTGACTTGGCCACATCCGCCCCATCCTGACACACAACATATTGCTGTGGCCATCTGTCCCTAGTGTTTTAAGATCATCTAAACTGAACCATCTAGGCTTCAAGAATCTCTGCCTTATTTTCTCTATAAGTACAACACTGTCAAAGCCGTCTATAGCATACTGCATTTTTCTTTTACTCAGACGTCTCTCTCTCTCCCTCCCTCCCTCCCTTTTTTTCTCCAGTACTGGGGACTGACTCAAGGGCTTTCACATTGAACCCCCTTTTTTAAATTTCAGATGGGGTCTCCATAAGCTAACCTCAGTTTTGTTTTAATAATCAGCCTTTGTCAACTGTATTTCCTAACGTGTACTCAAAATGTATGCTCTACATTCCTGTCAAAAAGGCTTGATCAATTTTTGCATAAACTTCCCCCTTCACCCCTGCTTATCCTGTTTGTGTCTGCTGAAACTATTTTACAAGCCCATTCATTCCCTCCAGGTATAGCTAAATGCTATCACCTCCAGGAAGCTTATCTTGGTCATTTAACTATCTGGGATCACTTTTTTCCAGTTTTGTGGATTTTTTTTTAACTATACAGTCATGTTATCCAGTAAAGAAAACTGAAAGGCTGGCATTAGTCGTCATGTAATACAAATGTAAAATTTACCTGACATTATCAAAAATACATGGACATGGCAGATTTTATTAACCATTTTGTTCAGATTTTTCTTTCTAATATGATAACACATTATGGGTAAGACTAACTATGATTGGAATTTTTTCCTTAAAACATTTTTTTCTTCCTAAAAAAAACCAATGTAACTTATGACCAGAAGCTAGGTCTTACTATACCCTAGGGCCGTAGAGTAAGCTGACCTATGGAACAGAGAGAGAAGCAGCCTACAAAGAGCAAAAATGAAACACAGAACTATTCTTTAGCAACTAAATGACACTTCCTATTTTAAAAAAGTAAAACTTCCACAAATATTCTAATGCCTTGATCACTGGGCATAGGAAACATTAACAGAATCCTGAAAAAAGACCTATGTGTCTTTTCTGTGTGCAAAAAAAGCCCATGAAATTATTTTTACTGGTGAAGACTGGCAGAGAGTAAGTTAAAAGGGTAACAAAAGCTACTCAAACCAACACTCTCTATGAACTCCACCCAAATCTCAAACCAAACATATCATAGTAAAATAATCTAAATTTGAGGAAAAAAAACCCCAAAAAACAAGTACATATACGTGGAATAAAACTCAATGCCAGAGATTGTTGTAATTATAGCTATCAAAAAAACCCTTTATTACTAATTTTAATGACTCTCCCAAATTGGAGTATGATAATTATTTCTAAATATCCCTTGCTAGAAAAAACAAAAGATGGAATCAAGAAGCAGTGAGAATATCTTCTGGAACAGTTTGATGTTAGGCACCACAAGAAGAACCAGGATCCCCTGATGATGGTGGTGGGTAGGAACCGCCTTCTTTTTTTTTTAGACAGGGTGTCACTCACTATATAGTGCCAGGCTGGCCTTACACTCACAGTGATTCTTCTGCCTTAGCTTGAGTGTGAATTATAGGTGTGTACCACCATGCCTGAATGAGGTCTGCTTTTTAACTATTAATTTTATTTTTTAAAATAGACCACCTACTTCGAGTACTGTTAGCTAAAAAATTAGGGAAATCACTAATCATAGTTAACACCCTGAGATTATTGAGGTGGACATATCAGTGAGAGGAGGGCATGAGCATAGCCATACAAATAGAGTAAGGGCAGAAGGAGAGACGAGAAGAGGAACTGTGAGTTTATGGCCAGCCTCGGCTACACAGTTCAAAGTCATCCTCCACTACAATGAAATCCTGTCTTTAAAAAAAAAGAAACTGGCTCTGCAGAGCAAAGCTGGATTAAACAAAAAGAAGGAATGGATAAAAGCAAAAATAAAAGTACACACTGTCTGGGAGGCAAAGGTGGGCTTTTAAAAGTGTATCTCCCTTGTAAAGGACAACTTGTTACAGAGGCAAAGCTCTGGCTAAATAATGCTCTGATTGTCATTCGTTTATGAAAGCACCCAGCCCTTTTCTTCTTACAAACTAGGGCCTAAAATTCTCAGAAGCTGAGAGACAGCCCTCAGTTACTTCTCAGTGTCTGCCTACCTGTCACAGCTTGCATCTGTAATACCACTCTAACAGATACAAATGTTAAATATTACTATTATTGTGTATCTTACTGTAAAATAACTGTTTTTTTTTTTACAGTTACAGCACCACTGTTCTCTTTATACTGCAAAATGTTTTAAGTTCAGAATGTAATAGTCTTCTAATACCCAATAAACAAAATCAGAATATTGCTAAGAAAGAATAAATACAACCTTATACCCAGTATACAGGGATAGGTTCGTGAGTCTTTTGTGGACACAGCTGGTAGAAGAGTATGGTTTGCAATAAATCTAAACTTGGTGGCATGAAGAGAACTGATAAAGCTTCTCTTTAAGTAGTTGCCAACATATATAGCATGATTACATCTGAATGAGAATTTTCACCACTAAACCTTTATACTATTTTTGGGTGGTTGATACCATACCATTCAAAGCAAGCTGTCGACAGAAATTACAAATGAATCTTAAGCAATAATAGGAACTATGATGGCAAAACAACTTTCAGAAAGGTAGCTTTTACCAAAGTCTTTGCCAAAGTCTGTTACAAATTCTTCACTTTCTAGTGAAAAGTAAATTATTTGGCTAAAAAGCAATCATTTGTGGCTTATGTTTTTGACTTCTCTGAGTGCAGTTGAGAAGTACTACATGAAACAGAGAGCTAAATGTTTCTCTATTCAAAACCAAGGAAAAATATACTGAGAATCATCTTAATTTTTCAAAATTCTTAATCTAGAAGAGTTGAAAAAAAACAAGAAAATATTACTTAACTTTTACAAAAGAAAAGTTTAGTGCACAAGTTTAAAGTACCTGATAATTTATCTACTCTTTTGTCTCAGTTTTATAATCATCTGGTAACCCTCTATATACCAAAGAGAAAAACCTAAAAAGAATACTCATTACACTAACACCCACCTGTGCTTTTTGAAGCAGTTCAATTGTAAGAGGAAGCCAATCAGGAATGAGTTTCTCCATTTCCAGGCTAACCATGGCCAGAGCAAGCATGGATCCTTTGAATTGCAGAAGTTGGTTGCAGGCTATACAGTGAAGTAGTTGTTTGGTAAGGACTGACAAATGCTGAGATGGGCTCAATTTGGGCAAACTGAAAAGTAACTGAGGCCTAGTTGACACTGCAATGGCATGGAACTGGGGAGGGAAAAAAGAAATCACAACAACATCATTTTCATACTATTTGTGAGTAAATTATACATATGAAAATTAACATAACCTCTTCAGGTATCACTTTCTAAGTCTGTCAATTTCTAAGTTTCTAAGTGATTAATGTAGTGATCTAGACATATATCTTTAATTTTTCAAGTTACTAAAACTGGTCTATATATTCAAGTAACAAATACCTTGGGTATACTTACAATGTGAAGAAAATCCAATGGTGTGGCTGTATGAAGATCCCAATTCAACTTATCCAGAATAATTCTCTCCATTCTCAAAATTTCAGAAGTAGAACATCCACAGAAACTGTCTCTTGCCAATACTTTCAATACTGGAATTTTCTATCCAAAGCAAAAGGGAACAGTGATAGGAAGGACATTTTAAATTTTTATTTTGGCAAACAAATACCAACTTAACCTAAAAAACAAAATTTTCAAAAAAGAAACAACTAATTGTAGAAGTATTCATTACCTCATCCTCTTCAACAGTCTTGGCAGCAAGGAAAAAGCAGCTAATTGCAATACAACTCAAGTATTTTGGGTGAGCCTAAAAGTTTAAAAAGGTAAAAAGCAACTTTAGTGATTTTTTTCTAAAAGGTTAAATTTTTATAACTTTTAAAAACTGTGTGAATAAGATAAGTATGTAGATAATTCTACAGAGTTGAATTTGATTCCCACTGATTCCTTTCTAGATCAGAGCTAACATTTAATGTGATAACCCTAGCCAGGTGGTATATTATAGAGGGATACACTTTTAATGTGCTTGCCAATGCAAAACCAGAATGTAGAAAACAATTCAGTCCAATTAATTTCAAAATACACACAGTAAAACCTATTTAAACATTTATTTTTATATTTAAGTTAATAAACATGCCAATTACTGCTGCCACAGCATAAGTAGCTTACAGTCCAGCAATCGTTCAATCCTGTGCTCATATGAGAAATAAAAGTTGTTTCAATACTAACAATATTGCTAGAAATGATTATCAAGCAAACCATTATAGTTAACATTTCTAAAATAGTACCATGTCTATTATGACTTTATCCTACAGGTGAGAAAACAGTCTTATAGGCTAATGGAGACAGCACAGGTAATCTAGGAAATAAACTCAGATGTTGCTACTAGGATAATTTTCCAGGATCTTTTATTTATGTGTGTAAAATATAAAATCCTACATCTCTGAAGTAATCCAAGTTCATTACAAAGAAAAGAATTGTTAGTAACTTTGAGTAAGCAATATAATTTCCAAATCAAGGCTACCAGTAAAAAATTTAATAAATAGGACTTGATGGCACATGCCTGTAATGTAGGCATTTTGGAGGCTGTAGCAAGAGGATCACCTGGGTTACATAGTGAATTCAAGGCCAGACACACATAATGAAATCCTGTCTCAACCACCTCCAACTCACACAATGAAAAAAAAATTAGTAAAAAGAATCCCAATATCAAATGTGTAATTTAAAAAGCAGACAGTTCTTGAATTTGATTGTGTATTAGATTTACCCATACGTTTTCCCCCCTTAAATCTAGACAACTGCTATCTCATCTATCAGAGAACTGGCTTCAAGAGGTCTGGAATAGGGCCCAGGTCTTTTGTTACTGTTTTTAATCAAACCCAGGGCCTTTGTGCAGGCTAAGCAAACACTCTACCACTGAGTGGCAACCTGGGGTTGCTTATTTTTATTTTTTATGGTGCCTGGGATTGAACTCAGGTTTCATTCACCCTAGGCAAGCACTCTACCACTGAGCTGCATGTGCAGTTCATTTTTGAAGAGCTTCATAGTGATATCCATAGGATGAGGGCTCCAGAGGCTCTGTTCATTGTTGTAGCCCTTTTATGGTTTGCCTTAAGTATCTCTAGAAAAAACTTCATCCTAGACTGTTTTAAAATTCTGTTTTCATAATTTTCCTAAGCACAGGAAGTATCTTTTGATAGCAAACTCAGTTCATTAATAATTTTTGAAAAATTGCAACCTAAGCATGATCACTATCCTTAAATTAATCTTTCTAAAGAGCTATTTGTGAAAGGGAAGTTAGCTGTGGTAAAGAGGGAAGAGGGAGGAAGACAAGCTGCAAGCAGTTTTCAGATTACTCTGATTTTTTTTTTTTTTTTGGTCTTTTTCCTTTTTATCGGTACCAGGGATCGAACTCACGACTACCTGCTTGCAAAGCAGGCACTTATGCCGCTGAGCTAAATCCCGAGCCCCCCAGATTACTCTGATTTAAATTAGCATCATTATAATTAAGGGTTAAGTCTCTTAAGAGTGGACGTCTGAAACATTAAATGGTAACTGGATGGCTATTCTAAATCTTATAGTTCATAATTTTTTTTTTGTTTTTTTCCTTTTTATCGGTACCGGGGATCAAACTCACGACTGCCTGCTTACAAGGCAGGCGCTTATGCTGCTGAGCTAAATCTCCAGCCCCAGTCCATAATCTTTGACTTTCCTTTTTTATATGTAGTATCTTAGTTACTCTCTCCTTGCTGAGACATAATGCCAGATACGAAGAAGTTAAATGAAAGACAGGGCAGCATGGTAGAGTAAAATAGATCATGGCATGCAGGCAGCGGGCAGCTAAACAGTGAGCCTTCTTTTCCTTTTTTATTCCATTCACACTACAAGACTATTGGTTGGTGCCATCCACACCCAAGTTGGGCCTTCTCATTATCCACACTTAGAACTAGGCAAACTAATTGTGGACTAATACAGCTATCGCACACCCATAATCCAGCCACCTCCTAAAAGCCCATACCTATAGTGACATGTGACTGGGGAACATCTAGATAAAAGCCATAACACCTAGTAACAAAGCATTTAACTCACAGTTTATATATCCCTAGGGCACATAAGTGAATTAATTGCTTTTCTATTCTTCTATGCTTTGCTGTTAAATAAATACTGAGTTATTGCTTTAAATCTATTGAAGGCCTACTATAACATCACAGAACCAATGATATACTACAACAATAAAGTTGTAAAAAAAATATTTGTATATTTCAGTTAATAAAAATATAGCAAAATTATGACATCTTTATATCCTAAAGTATACCCCTGGAAAAGTATTTAGGTATTGTCCAGAAAAGCACACTATAGTCAGTAAGAAGCAATAGAAAAATCTCAAAAATGCTTCTGCTTTTCTGTTCTAATTCACTGTCCATGTCTATAGTACAACAACACTGGAGATGCTTAACTATTCTACCAATGCTACATGGTTTGTACTAAAAACAATATATGAACCTTTATTAACAGTACTCTTGCAAAAAGAAAATTATAGAACACAATTAGAAACAAAAAATGTAAAATGGTACAAGATGTCATGTTTTCATTTGGGTACATATTCCATTCTGCAGGAAGTTTTCTATTTCTTTCTACTGTATACTACTTTAGTAAATGCCTCTAATTAAACATATAATGAGATTTAACAATTTAACAAAATGAGAGTCATATATAAATAAATTGTAAAATATTTACCTTTACAGTAGCTAAAAACCTGTCCAAAAGACTGCTAGCCAGAGCAAATGTTTCTGGGTAAAGGTTGAACTGGTACTTGAGTTTGGCCAGCCACTGAATTACTTCATCTCTCTGGGATGGAGAAACACTCTACAAGGGAATAATTACAAAACAACGTTAAAAGAAATGACAGCACAGTTTCAGGATCACGAGTATATTTAGAATTTTCTTTCATAACAGTTAGCAAATATTATAGAGAATGCATCTATATATTAGAATGTTGTTATTCGAAACCATACTTTAGATGACAATAAAACTTTACATATATTTAGTACCAACAGGCAGTATTTTTTTAATCTACTAAAATTTTCACTATGCCACCTCACCAAATATCTAAATTGAGATACTCAGGAAACTTTTTGGTGGGCACTGGGGATCAAACCCAAGAGATTCACTCATGCTAAGCAAATGTTATACCACTGAGTTACATCTCTAGCTCAGGTATACATTTTAAAATTTAAGTACATTATTATCAACTGATAATATAATTACGTTTTCCCAACTCTTGTATTAATAAAGTGTCTAAGGCATCAAATAGTGGTCACCTCATCACAGGAAATATAAATGGACCATAGTAACAGAATGACAGTCATTAAAACCAAAAATATCAGTACTAATACATGAAAAATATCAGGAATAAATGAATCACAGTTAAGATAAAGAAAGAAACTACAGAAGAGGATAAGGACCTACTAGTTACTAACGCTAAATGAAAGATCCTTAACAGTTACTTCTGCTGGGTAAATGTACAAAGTACAGACATGACAGTACTTTGTGATGAGCTGGAAAAGGCTGAGTTGTAAATAAGGGAGAGTTCCAAACCTGTTATTTTTTCCGTATTTATTTTCTTCCTTAGAAAGCACAGTAACCATAACTTAATCCTTTCTTATGGTGATCAATTTTTTTTTCTTTTATGGCAGTGCTGGTGATTGAACCCAGGACCTTTGCACTGAACTACATTCCCAGCCCTTCTTTTACTCTTTGAGACAGAGTCTCACTACATCATAAAATCATCCAGGCTGGGCTTAAACTTGTGATGGTTCTCCCTCACAATCCCTGAGCTCGGATTACAGGCATGTGTCACCATGCCTGGCTCTAGCACCAATGTTTCTAAAATCTTTATCTATCATAAACAGATGCATTAATAGCTCTTAGAGCATTAAAAGCTGTTCATCTTGACAATATTATCTCTTCAAACAAATTTTAGTCAAAATGTCTTTATTTTTCTTGGCTTTTTCTGGTATCATGAGGATGCTTTGTTGCTTATAATCACCATGATTTGGTGCTTATAATCTCTGCCACAGAACCTACTAATGACTCATTTTATTCCAATTCTTCCTACTTCAATTTACTTTTCGGCTTTAGCATGACACAGTGTTCTTTTGTGTTAGACAAACCAACTAATAACACATAAGTTTTATATCTTGTTGTAAACTCAGTTATAACTGATCTTTTTAAAAGGTTAACTACTATACATCCATGTACCTTCTGGCCAATTTCCTTTGAAATGACTAAACAATAAGGCATAAGAAATACTACAAAGGAGAGGGAGGGGACATTAAAAAGAATTAAGATGTTACGTACATGTACCAACTCCACAATACATGTAATTATATACTACAAACATGTACTAATAAAAATGCCAAGAAAAGGGGCTAGAGATGTAGCTCAGTGTGAAGACTGTGGGTTTAACTTTTAGTGCTGGGTGGGGGAAGGAGGAGGTATTCCTAATAAGAGAATATTATTACTGAAAATAAATTTTTGTGGTTTTTGTTGTTTTTTTTTTTTATCATCGGTACTGGGGATCGAACTCACGACCGCCTGCTTGCAAGACAGGTGCTTATGCCGCTGAGCTAAATCCCCAGCTGAAAATAAATTTATAAACATTTTCTGACAAGGTTAAAAAAGACTAACAAAAATATAATTTATGATTTCATATTAATATGTTTATTAAGGTGATGAAAAAATCACTATTTACACTTATAGTGAAAGAGAGCAGTTCTGACTTCTAAGTGATGAGCAGGGCTGATTAGGGAAGAGTTCCAATTTAAGCCTATGAACTTTACTCTGAAAGACAGAAATGATGGCAACCTTAAAGGTAGCAGCTACAGTTACGCTCTCCAGATTTGTAAATAAAATCAAGGTGAGTAAAAGAGACTGCTGGGAATTTTTAACTTGAGAATCAATCACATGATTTTGAGTCAAAAGTGATCAAGAACTTAAGGAAGTTCATGAGCTAAACCATCGCTTGTCAAGTTTTTGATACATAGAGCAGCAGTTATATCCTACAGAAAAGACACACTAATGTCCAGTATGACTGAGGAAATCAGAGTAAGGCTATTAAGGCCAAGAGTTTAGATGATTCTTCTCACAGAAAAACTGAAAAATGCAGCAGAACGCCACTGTTTGGAGCTACAGTTTCTTTAGGAGGCAAGAGGAAGGAAGTAAACACATGCTTGCAGATAGAACATGGGCCAAGTATCATGGTTCTTAGTTCTAAAGCCTCTCACATGTTCATGCAGCCCTGAGGTATTACTCTAAGATCTAGTTCTGCTCCGAAGGCTCCTGGAAATAAAGGCAGTCATAAACCTTCTAAGAAAGGATAGTTAAGTACTGAAGAGAAGAAAAAACAATGTATGCCAGTCAAACAAATAAATGATAAAAGAAAGTTAAAAAAGGGAGATTAGTAGTGATGCAATCTGATGAAACTGAGAAGGCTTTTTTTTGGCAAAGTGAACAACGTAATCTCACAGTCAGAAGGCTGAAGCGAAAGGACTGCTGTGATTTTGAGCTAGCCTGTGGTAACAGTGAGTTGAAAGTTAGCCTGAACTACATAGACAGAACCGGTCTTAAAAATTTTTTTAAAAAGGTAGAAATGAGAAGAACAGGATTTCCATCTTCAGGTCACAGATACAATAGGGGACATGCAAGAAAAAAATTATTGAATAATACAGTACATTAAATAATGTCATTTTGTATTTAAACAACACAAACATAAAATATTAAGAATTACTACAAAAGATGAGATAATAAAAAGTTTATCATATCATGGTTATGATTGATAGAACTTATGTAAAGCAAGGGTGCAGAATGAAAAAGGCACTAAATATTATTTTCTTTTTTTTCCAAACTGCATGAAATCCAATAAATATTACTTTCTCACCTCACAACTATTTGAGTCCCGAATGACCCCAAAAAAACCCTTCTTAATAAATTATAAACGAATAATTCTTTTAAATATAACATAGTCATGAAAAGAGTCAACAAATGGGACCAAGAAAACATCATCACTAACAAAAACTAATAGTACTGCACCCCACAAAAGGTAATAGTTTGATAAGACCCACCCTTACTGAATACTAATCTTTAGTATTTAAGATCTTTAAAGATCACTTTTTCAAATAAATTCATACCTTTACAAAAAGAAACTTCCATGCCTAAAGTAGTTCTATTCCCATCTTTCTGTTTTAAAAAAAGGAATAAAGAAAGCAAGCTCCAGACAGTATTTTCTGATTTTATCAAAGGAATTGTTTTTAATCAGTGTATCCACACAGATTGCTGAACAAGGTTAAGATGATTCAGTAAATTGGAGAACAGTTAATCCAAAAAGAGAATTTATAATGTATTCAACTGGCAAAACACACACACATATATATCCATATGCTACTAGTCTCTTTATTAAATACAAATCACCAGATATTTCAGTCATACCTTGTACATAAGACCCTGGGTTCAATTCTCAGACACACACAAAAAATATTCTGTGTCTGAAAACCACATAATTAGATGGCCTTTGATTCCTCACTGTCACAAAATTCTAACAAAAATCATCTTTATATAAAGTTTGTGGCAAGGTTTTCTTTTGTCAATCAAAAGTATGCTAGCAAAATTTAGAATAGATATAAATGTAACTTTGATTTTACATTATCCCCTAAATTCATATAACCAAATCATCATAAATTTGAAAGTACAATTATACAGAACTTTTTTTTTTTTTTTGTCTTTTTCGTTTTTATCACTACCGGGGATCAAACTCACGACTGCCTGCTTACAAGGCAGGCGCTTATCCCGTTGAGCTAAATCCCCAGCCCCTATACAGAACTTTTCTACAAGTATCAAGAACACAGGAGAGGGTCTGGGGATGTAGCTTAGTGGAAGAGCACTTGCCTAGTATGTGCAAGGCCCTAGGCTAAATCTCTAATGCCACAAAAAAGACCCCCCCAAAGTAGGGTATCTTAATAAATTATGAAGAAATGATACTCATTATTCATTTAAAAAATGTTTACTGTTGGATCTACTGTATGCTGGTAAACAAAAGTTACAGAATTCTTCCACAAGGAAATGTGTGTGCTATCGTAAGGGAAATAGTGTGTTAATAGAGAGCACATAGAAGGGTAATGACAGGTGTATAATATTCATTCCTGATCATGCTGCCCTGACTCCTGATTTCTGGGACAAGGGGTATAAATTATAAGAAAACTGTGAAAGATCTTAGACTAGGCAGGAAAAAGGGGAAAAAAAAAAAAAAAAAAAAAAGAAAGGAAACTAGGGTAAAGCATAAAATGAAGTTTTAAAATATTTTATTTTCCATTTTTATCAACATTTCCAGGAAAAAATAAATTCACAGTTGAAAAAGCCTGGTGTGGTGCCACATGACTATACTCCCAGCACTTGGGAGGCTGAGGCAGAATGGCTCCAAGTTTGAGGACAGCTTAGGCTACATAATGAGTTCAAGGTCAGCCTGAACTAAGTGAGATCATGTTTCAAAAAAGAAAGGTGAAATATGGAAAGGGAAGTAGAAAAGCCCGTCTCTGGAAGTAACAGGAAAATAAAATAAGGGAATTAAACAGGTTACTCTGGCAAGTCCCCTTTTTATATCTTCTAACCTTACCAGGCCAAATTCATTCAAAATTTCTAAGAATTAAGTCCAACTTCTGCTTGGCATTACTAAAGGCAAATTCTTTAGTGCTACTGTCCTATCTGGTATTACCTCGCTAATATTTGTTAAATCACTTATAGACTAGTAATAATATAGCAGTATACAGCAAACACCTTGAAAGACTGTTGATCACTATTGGTTTATATGCTAA